AGGAAAACAAAGCATGGAGCACCATTTGAAGCAGGAATTGGGAGCTCTGCTCGTGTTTACGAGTTCCAAATCCCAGGGAATTTTAAGTATTCCGTGCAGAAGTTCTCGTGGGCAAAGTCCCCCCCACCAACTCCCCTTGCTTTTTAACCCAAGCGTTGGTTTCCTGAGTGCTGGAATTAATTCTCAGGTGAGGTTCATGGCAGTGGACATTGGGTTTAAAGGCTGGGTGGCACGCTGTGACCTGGGAAGGCTCAGCTCTGCAGTGCCAGCCCAGCTGTTCCACCTCCAAAGGCTTCGCTGCTGTGACTGCAGCAGCCCTTCATTTGCATTTCGATTTTGCCAAGGGCTGGCCCCTCTTTTTGGAAGGAGAAGGGCCCATGGACATCAGCTCTGCAGACAGTGGGGTGTGCAGTTGGGCTTTGAAGCAGTTGCATCTATCACAGGATGTTCTGAGTTGTGAGGGACCCACAGGGATCAGTTCTTAAGTTCAATTTATATCCTCCATATCTGTGGGTATTGCACTGACATAGGCAGAGTTACAGTGTTGCTCCAGATGGAATAGGAAATGTAATCTAAAGAAAAAAAAAAACAATCTAGAAAAGCTGCTTACTTTCTTTCTTGAATGAAGGAAAGGTGGGCAGGATTTATCTGGATGTGAACAGCCTGTTCTGAAGTCCCTCAGGTCGTGGTTCATGTACACCCTGATTTAATAAGCAGTATTGCTGGGAGGGGAAAGCTTCACTTAATTAAAAACAAACAGCACAAGTCATCTTCCCAAGTACTGCCTGACATCTTTTGTCAGTGTAGCAGCAAATAGTTGTGGAATACAAGTAACTCTTGGGAGCTGGAAATGTGATCCAACCTGCAGAGAGTCCTGCAAAAGGCTGTGCATGGGAATGCCCCAAGCAGGGATTAATCTGTTCTCTGGCCACCGAGTCGGTGCAATTCTCCACGAGAGCTTTCTTCAGCAGCTTATAAATTCTAGGAGCTGGAGTTTCAGTCTTAAAACAGCTTAATGTTCTGTGGTTTTATCCGGAGAGCTGCTCGTGTGTTGCTGCAGAGGAAGCCTGATGGGAAGCATGGACAGTAGGAGTTCTCCTTAGCAGGCTCTTCATCCTTCTTGACCTAAAATCCCATCCACTCTGGTTTTGCTGGAATAAAGGCTCATTCTGGCTAATCTAAGGAGATGGACAAGGTTATGGTCATGTTTGACCTCACTGAAAATGCAGAATTCAGTTAAAAACGACATTTTGCAGATACCTTGGTGCTATTGAGGAAAGCTCTCAGGAACTCATTTCTGTGAAAGAAAATAATCAGCTCCTCTTCACAAGAGAAACACTCCAATCACCCTTCAATCCTCCAGTCCCCAGCAGCATGCCAGAGGGCTTTCCTGAGTAGCAGCATTCCACAGGGAGCTGGATGGACAGCATGTGAAATAATGTGTGTTGTCATGAGGTTTAACAGATCCTGGAAGTAAAAGGCAAGGATCATGGTTTTCATGTGTAAGACTTTATAAACCAGAACTGCAATTGCATTTTTTTGAGGGGTAGATGTGAAATATTCCTTATTTTACTAAATAAATTCCTTATTTTACTTGCATCCCTCCTTTGGGATGGGGGGGATATTTGCAGGAAGAACAGCCCTGACACTTTTTAGCACATGGAGCCAACCCACTGTCACAAGCTGAAGAGGTGAGTAGTAAATAAAAACTGGGATACTTGGGCAGACACTTCCATCAGAGGAAAAGAAGATTTAGAGGCTTGAATTCCAGTGTTCCAGGACCATAAATCAGGCACTGCGTGACAGGGTGAGGAATTTAACTGACATTAACTGGCCTGAGATTTATGTGTTTGTGTTTTTGGTCTTGGAAGGCAAACTGGGTTACAGAATTATACAAAAGGCAGAGCCCAGTTTATCATGAAACATCTTGTAAATGCAAGTGCCAGTGAGGAAAGGAATGGTTTATGGAACAGTCTTTCCCCCAATAACATTTGTCTTGCTCTCATGTTATGGGATGTGTATTAATGGGATAATAGCTACTAAAATAATGTTCACCAAGGACGTACACAACTGGAGGAACTCTCCTCCATCATGTGTGTGCTGCCCCTCCTGAGCTGTCAGGCTGCTTATTTAAGGGATTGAATCGTCGCTACCCAGCACTACAAGAAGCAGCTGCTTCCATTTATGGCTGGGAAATTCCCCGAGAAAAATGTGCTGTCAGTTGTTCATCCCTCTGCAATGTGGAATGGGTGAATTCTCTGAAGTACTAAAGAGCTTAACTGAGGACATGGCTTTATCCCAAGCTCCGTGCTGGTTTACATGTTTCCCAGCCCTCCTTTTGCAAAGTGATGTTTGAATGTGGCCCGAGGGATCCACTCCTGGTTTTGATACCTCACTTGTGGGAAGCAACAGAAAATTCCTTTGTCCCAAAAAGTCGTGTAGGTGACTTCCCTCCCTTATTTACGTGTCAGTGTGGCCTCCACGGGTACAGATGAAGTTTGTAGTGCTGCACTCTCTCATTACGGATTAAAATACTAAATTAAATAATTGATGTGATTGAGGGCTGGAGGGGATTTGCCCGTGGAGGAAAATCCGAAGCCCGTCACTCAAAAAAAAAAATCTTCCCCTGCAGGTCACGGGGTTAAAGAATCAACTCGTGTATCTCAAAGTTCATTAATTCACCCCGCAGCCCAATCCCGGAGATTTCTGCCGTTTGATTAAAAGTGATGAAATCAAGCAAGTAATTAGTGGCGTTTGTTCAGCTGGGAATTGGGGCTTAGCATGTTCTGGTAGCTACGGCAACAGCACTCGGCTGATATGCAAAGCATGTGAGCAATCCGGGGAGGGGAACGGCACCTTTGCAGGGAGCAGAGGTGTCAGGAGAGACGGCAAAAATAAACACGGGCTCCAGCAGGATGTAAATAGTGGGGGGGGGTGGGCATGATTTCAGCAGCTTGGTATGTGTTTGAACAGGAGCTTTGCTCGGGCAGGGGCTGTGGTGAATGGATTACTTATGGATGTTTCTGCACCTCTCCAGCCCCAGCAGTTCCCTTGTTTTGCTGCGGAGTTTGCCTCGAGGAAAACAGATTTCAGGCATCAGCAGTGCCAGCGATCTCCATCCACAGCACATTTTATTCTCTTTTGATGCCCTGTGTTCCTACAAGGGTTAATGCTTCCTGTGTACTTGATCTGGCGTTCCTTTTGGTTCTTTTCCAAGGTTGGATCTTGGATGTGGTTGGAGTGTGTTGTCATAAAACTGTCTTGGGGATTGTTTCCTTTAACATGTCGAGTCTTGTGCTCTCTGGAAAGTGGTTGTTGCTACCCAAGTGGTGTTTGTTTGGAGGGGGATAAAAAGGGCCTCTTACAAAGTTTGTGTGTGTTTAGAGAGTTGGGAAGGATCATTCTACATTTCCCCCTTTCTTCTGAAATGAAACACAGGAGGGAAGGCAATGCAAGAATCTGCACTTGTAAGAAATGTATTAAGTGGTTTGATTTCTGAAGGAACCAAGTTCCCAACCTCAGTGTAATCCAGAGCTGTATCTGAAGTATCTGAAGTACATAACTGTTGTCTTTTCCTTGGGACAGAGTACAACAAATGTACCCACACTAAACTTGAAAATATATGTGAACTTGGCAGCATTTTGATACTGGGACATCAGTGCCAGTATCTGTTATATATAGTTCAGTATTTCATTGCTTTGTGGTCTGCTTTCATGAGCATCTCTTGGTTGGAAGGGTCAGAGTAAGTGGAAGCCACTCTGTGAGACTGTTTCTCTTAAGTTTTGCGCAGTCAAATAGTTCTTAAAACTCAAGGGGTCACTTTTCTGCAGTTAACACCTGAATTTATGCTTTTGTGCCTCAAGTTTGTTTTCTCCCCGAGCGCTGTTTGTGTGTTCAGCACTAAACAATCCCTGACTCTCTGAGTGTTGAAATGTCTTTATCTCCAGGCAGTAAGATAAGGGGAGGGGGGGAGAAATGAGCTAATTATAATGGAGTTATTCTTCTTCCTAATATCCAGTAACTAGAGCTGCACACTGGCAGTTGAATTCTACCCTTTGCTCCTTTATTTGCTTTAAGCATACACATACAGGTATGAGATGATGGGGGTCTGCAGGCAGGAGGGAGTGAACAGTGCCCACAGTACTTTAGGCATTTTTGAATGCATACAAGTTAAATATGAAGGCAGGACTGGTGGCCTGGGGTTGTGCTGCCTGCCAGGGAAGAAAGGGGCAGCACTGCCCTGCAGCCCCTGTACATTGCTGTTTCTGGTCTGGAGTAGTTGAAATGGATTTCATTCCTTTAAAGAGATTTTGATTTTGATTTAGGAGTTCATCTGGTTTTTGCCTGATGTCTCTTCTTTCTCTTTTACAACATCTAGTAGTTATTTAGGGAGAGCATGTTCAGCTCCTGCATCCGCTCAGTCTCCTCATTAAAAAAACAAGCCTGCAATTTAATTTACTCCCCTTTTTCCTCTTTTGGTCAGCCAGCAAGATTTCAGAAAGGGGCCCTGACCTTGTTTTCATTGATCAGTCTGCAGTTTGACCCGAATGTGGTCCGGGGCTGTCGGGTTTTGTCTGCTGGTGCAGGCTGGGAAGTGCCCAGAACACACAGCTCCCATGGGAGTGCACTGAGAGGGACACAAGAGGCTTTGAGGAGCTGGGTGCCACAGCTATTTTCGTGATTCAGCAGAAATCGTCTTTACTCATATGTTTGAGTAAGAATCTTAGGTGTTCCTATCCCAAATATTTGATGATAGTGGGAGAAACACATGACTTCAGACTCTGAGCAGGATTCTTGCAGTGGGACCCAGTTAGTACTGGCTTGTGTGCAACACAGAGGTGTTTCTGCCAGAAGTTATTAGTATAGTTTGCAAGATTCTTCTGATACTCTGGGTTAAGCAGGAGCTGTCTGAGATGATGCCAGAGGGTTTCTGGTTCTTGGAGTTCTGTCTTTCATCAGACAATGCAATCACCGTGCTTTGTTTTCCTTTGTGTTCCCAGGCCCTCGCAGCCAATGCTGGGACAGGGTTTGCAGTGGCAGAGCCTCAAATTGCCATGTTCTGTGGGAAGCTAAATATGCATGTGAACATCCAGACTGGGAAATGGGAACCTGACACTTCTGGAACCAAGAGCTGCTTTGGAAGGAAGGAGGAGATTCTGCAGTACTGCCAGGAGGTGAGTTGTTTTGTGTGATCCTGGCTCTTCACTGCTGAGAAGGAATTGGATTCCAATTTAACTGGTCAGTGGTAAATTAACCCTGCAGGAGACAAGATTGCTCTTGCCCAGCTCAATTCCCTAGGCTGTTTTGCTGAGTTACTGCCCAGGGAGGACACAGCAGTGGGATTTAGGAGCTACCTCTGACTTAGATCAGCTTATGCTGCCATAAGAAGGTCCTTGGTCCCTAAGTCAGAGGTGTCCTTGTCTGTGTTTGCAGGGCCTTACCCAAGTGTTCTGCCTCTGAGCTGGTTAACCAATATCTGCTCTGTGTTGTACCAAATGGAACCTGACACCTATCTCAGTGACATGTTCGTATCAGCCAGAATATTAGAAAGAAAATTTTCATTAAAATGTTGACAGTATTTTAAGCTCTCTATACTTTATTGCAAAAGATATGGTCCACTTTCACTGTGCTCCAGATATGCTGTAACATCCTGGCCTTGATAAGTGTCTTTAATTGCTCCTCTGAGGTGTCAGGCTCATAAAATACCACAAAGAATGTAATTTTTGTTTAATGGGAAAGGGACAGAATGCACCATGTGTGGACTGGAAAACTTTTAAAACTGCTTTACAAGGCTGATGTAACTGGGGCTGCATTTGGTTTATGTACTAGAAGCCTAAATTTAAGTCAAGTCTGGACTTGAGAGCTCAAGCAGGACATAAGGGTCAAATGAATACATCATAAACGGGGCAGGCACGAGGAAACCTCAGGAGGTGGGTGCATGTTGGCTTGACAAGAGATGAGACAGTCTGAAGATGCCACTAAACCCTATTTGTTGGTGATTGCCCTCTTCCAGGGCGTTTTGCACTGCACCAGAAAGAATGGAACAGATAAATCTCCTCCAAACCCAGGTACTCCTCCACTGCCTGCAAAGCCAGACCCCTCAGCTCAGTGCCAGGGAGGGTTCTTGCCCCTGACCTGGCTTTCTCCTGCCTCACAGAAGTGATGACAGATTTCCTTTCTCAAGCTCTGTGTGACAGACAGCTGGGAGCTTTTTTATGTCTTCAGCTGTCCCAATTTTGATCTAGAGAAGAGGGGGGGGTGTGTGTCCATGTGCAAACCTGAGCTTGTTTCTGTGTAAAGAATCAGCCTCACCACTCCTGGTAGGAGCTGCTTTGCACATTCTGTGCCCTTTCTGGAGGGAAACCTCTGTGTGTGTGTTGTTAACAGATGTACCCAGACCTGCAGATCACCAACGTGGTGGAAGCCAACCAGCCCGTGAGCATCGACAGCTGGTGCAAGCATGGGAAGAAGCAGTGCAAGGACCACACCCACATCGTGGTGCCCTTCAAGTGCCTGGGTGAGTGCTGGGGGGAAAACTTTGCTTTTTGAGGGAGGAGCAAGCAGTTCCTCCCAGGAACAGCTCAGTTCCTAAGGGTTCTCTCTTGTCAGGTTGCCGTTTCCCCATCCAGCTTCCAGGTTTTCCTTTCCATAAGATGGAGCTCTGCCTTTCTGGAGCAGATCAACAGCCCAGTAACAGCTGTGGTGGGATAATGGTGCCTGGCACAGGAAAGAAATTCCCATTCTCTCTGCAACTGCCATAAAAACCTGAAGGCTATTGTATCTGAGTATCACAAAGACACTGGGCTTCAATGCTCTGATCCTATTTTTGTGGAGCTTTAATATTTTGTTGCCTTGGAGACTTCAGTGCTCAGTGTGCTCAGGCTCCCAGCTACGGTCTTGGCAAGAGACTCTGTTGTGTGTCAATGACTATATTTAAACTTTGCTGTTTCAAAGAGGCCTTGCTTCTTGCAGCTGTATCCCATGTCCCCACTTCCAACTGGGAAAGAGCAGGAGATAAGCTGTGATGGACTGGATGGTGCCTTGCAGAATGTCCCCAGCCAGGCAGTGTGTGTGACTGTTCACCTGTGCCCTCTGACCCAGGGGTGGTTCTGATGCTGCACTGCTCCGTGGGTGTGCTCAGGGCTGAGCTTGGTCCCAGCTGCCTGAGTTTCTTTTCAGTCTCCCCCTGGAAAAGACTTGTTTTGTAAGAAGTTTTGGGAGAGTCTGATTGCTGGGAGCATTCACAGGGAACCAGTTTTCATGGTTGATATCCATATCTCGGGTTAACGTGGGATTTGACATCAGCAAACCTGCAGAACCATGTGGGTGCTTTGTCCTGTGTTTCATACCTTCCACTGTGCAATCATAAAGCACTTCATTAAACGTGAAATTTAACGTGGGCACATCCTGGGAGAGAGGTGCTTGTCTTTATGGATGTGGGAATTCAGGTTTGGGAAGCAACCAAACCCAGCTGATTATATGGAGAACTTCTGATGGAAATAAGGATGAAAGTAAGATCCCTGGATTTATAAGGAGTCATCTCTTTCAGAAATAATCCTCCCCCAAGCCTATTCTCCAGCTGAAAAATAAGCTGATTGTAGTGACGCTGCCCTAAAATGTGATGAAGCATTAAACTGTGTGTTCAGGTTTTTCCTCAGTGTCTCTCACAGAGTGCTTGGCTTGCACAGCCCAGCCTGGCAGGCAGCTCTGCTCTTCAGACCCAAGCTGCAAGTCAGGAGTCCACACCTACAAAGCACCTTCTCCTTTAGCACTCCACAAATTGCTGGCTGTGAAAGGATCTTGTGTTCCTCTGTGATTATGGTCAAACTGTGGGATTTCATTTCCATTCCTGCTTGTGTCTTCCTTCATAACTTAATGCACATTGTATCTTGAGGTGGGATATAAACACACCATGTTTAACCCTCTCTGCTTCCCTCCACCAGAGAAAGGCCCCATTGTGTTTTAAAGGTGAGGAGGAGAACCCAAAGCCTTCTGCAATCAGTCCCCAGAACCACAATCTCTTCGTTTTGAAGTTTGCTCAATTTCAGTTTTCTTATCAGGAGCATTTAACCTTTTTTTACTTAACTTATTGGAGCGATAGGGAAGGAGAGAAGATTATTAACTCAAAATTCTAACTGGCCTGTTTTGAGATAAGAAAATGGGGAAAATAACCATCTCTGTTAGTTTAAAATGTAACGAACTGCAAAGGGTTGATGAAGGCCAGTTGATTCCATTATCTTCAATTGTCATCAGATAATCTCTCCCTAAACTCTGTTTAACTTCTCTGTAGAAGGCTCCATGAGCCTTTGGTGTCAATACCAAGGGGTTGCAAAACACACTGGGTGTGCAAAATATTTAAAGTGTATTTTGACAAGATAGTCTTGAAGATTGGTTGGACAAAGAATTGTGCTCCCTGGAGATTGTGAGAAAAGACCTTTGACTTCCAAAATTTTTCTCCAGCTTTAACACACAATTCTAAGGCTGCTGGTCATGTGTACAGGGAATGTTGCTTTGAAACAGTTGGGCTGAAGATCTTTTCTGATCTTCTGTATCTAGAGTATCTAGTCACATCCTTATTTTAAAATTGTTGAATGTGGCATTTAAATCCACAAGAAAGAAAGAAAGGAAAACCTCAGCTTGGAGAAAATACCATGGTTTGCATCCCAGTGTTTGCTGGGACTTCTGGGCTAAGAACAGGAAGCAATGCTCACTTAGTTCTCATCCTGATTTTCCATGTGTTGGTACCACACTGAACGATGATGGAAATTTAGGCTAAATAGCTTTTAAGTCCAATTAATAGAGAGTCTGTAGAGCAGACCAATTCTCTCTCTCCCATCTTCCTCAAAAGCAAAAGCCTGGTTTTGGCACAAAGATTTGCCAGAGCTTCCTGGTGCTGGTGAGGCTGTGGTTTTCCAAAGGGTGCAGTACAGTGTATTTGCTGACTCAGGCTGTGCTCTGGCTTTTGGGCTGTACAGTTTTTATTTTTCCATCCCTCCGTGTTTTGTTTAAGGACTGTCCCAGGCAGGGAATGTGCTGCAGTTGATCCTGAATTAAACCATCTGGAAACAAAACCAAACCAGGCTTGCTCAGATACTGCAAACACAGATAACACTCAGGGCATATAAAAATTTCCAAGCTGTTTCAGCAGCAGGCAGTGTGTGAAGGAGCTTTGCTGTGACGCAGCTCATTTACAAATAGGTGATTAAGTGGTTTGAAAACTTCTGTGTGCAGACACAATGTTTTCAAAGGCTTGAGTGAAACCTCTTCAGTCAGTTCTTTTAGTCCCTTGAACAACTGTTTATTAACTTGCAGTGTAAGCTTTGCCCTCAGAGTCAGCAATCAGCCCCTGTTCCTGGTTTTACCGTGGAAAATTCGGACTGATTTTGTGTAGATTCTCAATTTTCAGAACTGATGTGGCCTGTTCCCGTTAAGGCTATTCCAACCCTTCGAGCCACGTGCACAGAGTGTGCCCTGGGGGAGCTCTGCTGGTGGCTCTGGGCAGGTGTGACCCGTGCCCACTGTGTGTTTTCCAGTGGGTGAGTTCGTGAGCGACGTCCTGCTGGTCCCCGAGAAGTGCCGGTTCTTCCACAAGGAGCGGATGGATGTGTGTGAGAGCCACCAGCACTGGCACACCGTGGCCAAGGAGGTAATGCAGCTGCTGGGGCAGCAACATTTAGCCTGCACTTGGCTGCTTGCAGTGTTGGAGCACAGCAGTGTTTATCTCTGGGCTGTTATTCCCGTGTTCCAGTCAATGGACTGAGGCGACAGCAAGAAAATAAACATTTAAAAGTACTCAAGTGACTCAAAACAACCTGTGGAGCCACTGAGTTATTGTGAAAAAGCTGTCCTAAGTGGCTTACCCAGATCCTGGAGCTAGGAACTGAAATCAGCCTCTCTGGGATGCTGCTTCAACCAGTGGTTCATCCCTCCTTCCAGGGAGCTGCAGTGGGCACAGCATAGTTCCTGTTTTTCTTGCCCATTTTGCTTTAATGCACCTGCTGCTTGCTGGGGATTTGGTTGGGGAGGGTTTGCCTGGGAGCAATCTGAGTTTCGTTGGGACTGATTAGTGGAGGTTTTACATAAGAGATGGATTATCTTCTCAGGATAAATCTAGCCCGTGGTTTTGGATTTTTTTTGGTTTTGTTTTTTTGGTTTTTTTTATCTGACTGGCTAAACTGCTGCAAATGCTCTGCACACCCATTTGAAGTTGGGGTAGTAAAAATAAGATCATGGCAAAATGTACATGTTTGTTATTTTGTAGAAGCAGCAGCACAACGATTGGTTGTGATGGTGCTGAAAAAGATGAGGTTAAGGATGCTCCAGTTAAAATTCCTATTTCTTTAAAATCCTGTGAGCAAAGACTTGCCTAAATAAAGCTCTACTAAGAGGAATTGCCTTTTAATTGAGGATAAACTTGTTAATGTCTAGCAAATTGAAAAATCATTTGTTTTAAATGTAGTTGGAGAACTTTTCCAGCAATATTTGGCTCATTTAAAATCCTTGCTGTAACAAAGCAAAGCACAAAAGGGTTCTGATGTGCATAATAAAGCTTTTCTTACTTCATTCTTCTCTGGGTATGGCAAAGCAAAGTATTTCCTTAACTTGAGAGAGGTGTATAGACATAATGTCTGATCATAGTTTGCATTTGGCTTTTTCTCTTGAATTATCTGATTGATTTTCATCTGCAGCTTGTTAAAATAATCTTGACACAAAGTCCATTTGAGCGATTATTCACTTACTGCCCTGTAAAGTTTAAGAGATAACGCTGAGTGGAACGGCCAGCCCAGAAAAGCAAACAGCCCTTCTGGTGCTTTCAAGTGCTCTCTCCCTCGGACTTGGCACAGAATGTGTAGCTGTTTCTCCTGAACTTTGCCAGGCTGACACACCAGCACTTGCTGGGGCCAGGGTGTGATACATTAATGGCAGGAAACTCCGAATCTGGGAATTTTCTGGGGATTTCTTTTGCCCTACAAGTTTCAAATCCACTTCCCTCTGATGTTCGCTCTTAGGTCGTGAGTTACCGTTGTGTTTTTTGCTGTAAAATGTAAACAGTTGGTCACATTCTTGGGATCCCTGATAGGCAGGAGGCTGAACTGACGTGGCTGGGCTCTCCTTTCAGGCCTGTCTGACAGAGGGGATGATCCTGCACAGTTATGGGATGCTGCTGCCCTGCGGGGTGGACCAGTTCCACGGCACAGAGTACGTGTGCTGCCCTCAGACTAAGGTTGTGGATGAGGCTCTGTCCAAAGAGGAGGAGGAGGAGGAGGAGGAAGAGGAGGATGAAGACTATGACCTTTACAAAAGGTAGGGTTCTTTCTTACTGCTGTAGGTGGTACCACCTGTTGCTTGGGAATATTTCACACAGCAGCTCCCTTGTGCTGAGGATTGAGAGAATTGCTGTGCTTCTGAGCTGTGTCCTGAGCCTGAAGGAGCCTTGCAGGAGGACAAATGACTTTTTTTATTACTGGAGGAATTCAGCAGCCCCTCTCCCTTCATCCTTGGACAGAGACAGTTGGGGTCGCTCAGCCTGGAGAAGAGACCTGAGAGCCCCTTCCAGTGCCTAAAGGGGCTCCAAGAGCACTGAGAGGACTTTGGACAAGGGCCTGAAGGGACAGGACACAGGGAATGGCTTCCCACTGCCAGAGGGCAGGGATAGATGGGATATTGGGAAGGAATTGTTGGCTGTGAGGGTGGGCAGGCCCTGGCACAGGTTGCCCAGAGAAGCTGTGGCTGCCCCTGGATCCCTGGAAGTGTCCAAGGCCAGGTTGGATGGGGCTTGGAGCACCCTGGGCTGGTGGAAGGTGTCCCTGCCCATGGCATGGGATGGGCTTTAAGGTCTCTTCCAACCCAAACCATTCTAGGATTCTACCACAGGCACCTCCCCCAGGGATAGGCTCTCACTTCCTGAGGAGAACTGATGGGGAAGTTCAAGGAAATGAGGTGTGTCCCATTGCTGTGGGTGATGGGCCAGTCAACAGTCACTACCTTTATTTTTCCCACCTCTGGTGTTTCTAGAACAGGTGGAAAGAGAATCATTATTCTGCTACATCCACCACCAACCTTAACTTCACCCTCTCATTTAACCATATCCTTCCAGTGAGTTCCCTACAGAGGCAGGTGTAGAAGACTTCACAGGAACAGCTGTGGAGGAGGATGAGGATGAAGATGACGAAGGGGAGGAGGAAGAGGACGTGGTGGAGGACCGTGATTACTACTACGACAGCTACAAGGTGGATGATTACAACGAGGAGACCCCCACAGAGCCCAGCAATGACAAGGCTGTGGCTGAGAAGGAAGTGAGCAGCGATATGAAATGTAAGACACATTCCAGCATCCAGGCCTCTTCCTCCCTTGGGATCATCCCTGCTGGCTGTCAGTCAGTGGTGGGGTTTTGATCAAGTCAATAAATGCCACTTGGAAGTTTTGTTTGCCAGATAAGTTAGCAAACAGAGGAAAGCTGATGATGCTCGTGTTTCAAGTGTTGAAATTAACTCTCTAGAGCATGGGCCATATGTTTGCAGATAAACAGCAGTTCTGCTGGCAGGGAGCCCAGTGTTTGGCACGTTGAACAAGCACCTCCACCGAGGTGCAGTGATGAGTCAGAAAAACCATATCTGCGAATTTTGGAAAACTTAAAAGGGGCATTTGGGGCACACCACGAGCTTAAAATCCCTGTTTGGGGGTGATTATCTTGGTGTTTTATACAAAAAGGAAGCCAAAAGTGGTGGGCCACACTCTGCAGAGGTGGCATCAAGGTGCTATCTGGCTATTTAAGAGTGAGGACCATCCTGAGTGCTGCCTGTGCATAAACACTTCTCTTCCAGAGGAGAGCCAGCAGCCTGGCCCAGCTTTGCTCTGTGATAATATATACTTTGTGCATTACTGAGATGCACTGTGCTGGTGGCAGCTTTGGTTCAGTGGTAGGTGCTCTCACAGAGAGGGTTGATGGAGTGGTGCCTCAGTTGTGTGATGTCCTATACTCCGTGTGTAGAAGTGTCTGCAGAGGAGGGAGGAGGGGAATGAAATTCAATTAGCTCCACATCACTGAATCACTGCCAGCAGTTCTTGCATCGTTTTGGTAAAATGCCAGCATGCTGCAGATGATTTTACTTGCTGAAACAAGGCTTAGCTCATGTATGTCCAGGTCTGCAGGTATTGAAAGAGGCTTGGAGTGGTATGACTGGGGTGTCTCTTTTGGGGGTACACTGTCTTTTTTCCTCAAAGTGCCACAAACAGTTGCTAATTTATCCACAATATCTGTTCTCTTGCCTCAGAATAGCCCAGCTGCTGTTGCTGGCTGACCATGAAGCAATCCACATGCCATGGCTGCATGGGAGTTTTAATGTTTAGTGCATAGATTTAAAAACTGAGGCTGGCCTAGCAGTCATTCCTTTTGGTTAGCCTGCCTTCTCCTGTGCTCTTGCACCTCCCCTGTAAGATGTGGAGTGTCTGTCCAGGCACAGTGCAGCAGACAGGGCATGTTGGGAAGCTTTAATGGACTGTTCCATCACACTGGTTTTGTACAGTGGAGGATCTCCCCCTGGGGCACCCAGGGCATAATGCTGTGCCATCAGCAGAACAGATCCTGCTGTTCCAGCCCCTGGCTAAGGAGAAATCACCACTGAGAGCTCCATGTTGAGAAAGAGTGAGCTGCTCAGCTCACTCCAAAGCACCACGTGCAGGCACCTCCCTGACATTGTGATGGATGCTTTGGCCACATTAAGCCCTCCCAAAACTGACAGAAGCCCTTTGGTCACTGAAGGATTTGGAAGGAGAGGGATATTTATAACTGTTCCTTTGTGTTGCTTTTGGACTAGCCACTGATGTCCCAGCACCTCAGAAAACATTTCCAAAGCTCTGGTGCAGAAAAATAACTCCTTTGAGACAACTAATCTCTCCATTCGTGTCATTCCTCTGAAAGCAATTCTGCACCCTTAATACTGGCCAGAATGTTTGATCTTGAGCCTCAGGCCAGGGAAAGACTCTGATAAACATTTCCTGCTGCTGAGGCCGGTGCCCCAGAGGAAGGTGTGAGGCAGAGCGTTGTGTAAGTCACTGAGCAAGGCCTGTGCTCCTCCCAGCTCACGTTCTCCCCCATCTCCACACAGCTGTCTGCTCCCAGGAGGCCCTGACAGGGCCCTGCCGGGCTGTGATGCCTCGCTGGTACTTCGACCCTAACAAGAGAAAGTGCATTCGCTTTATATATGGAGGCTGCGGAGGCAACAGGAACAATTTTGAGTCAGAGGAGTATTGTATGGCTGTGTGTAAAAAGATGAGTAAGTCCTGCCTCCCACTGGCCCTTTGCAGCTGGCCACTGTCTGTCTGGCGTGTGGTGTCTCCTCCTCCTTGCCTGGGGCAAGAGAGGGCCCGTCTGTAGCTCCTGCCTTTGGTTCTGGTGTCTGTCCCTTCGCAGCCGTCTCCTCCTGTCTCCGCTTCCCGAGGTCCGTAGGGTGATGGTTCCTGGGAAGAGTGGCTCTCACCATATGCTGTCTGTGTTCCCCATTGGCTTGCAGCTCTTGCAGAGGGCTCAGCTGTCCTCTTCAGGTCTGACCCAGGGAGCAGGGGCTGTCTGTGACCTTTCCTGACTGGCTTTCCTTCCAAAACACGTGAGAGGAAGCCCTTGCTCCCGCAGGTCGTGTTACCACGCCTGGGTTTGACCATCCTGGAAAGCAGGATGCTGCTCGCTGTTCTCCTGCTAATAGGCATCTTGTTGCTATTTTAATTTTGGAAAATATCAGACAAATAGTACAGAAATCAGATTCCCACTTTCAGCTCAGTATGAAATATGAATCACGACTCAATCCCTGTGTTTTTTGAGTGCTTGAGGTTTCTGGCACCAATTTCGACTGGCTTTTATGTCAGATGATAAAACTACCAAAAAACATTTTAACCTCCTTATTAATCTTATTGTTGAACTCCAGCACTTCCACTTCAGCTACCATTAAAGCCTTTTTGAAAGGCTTTTTGTGTTATCTGGGGCTTGGTAGCCTGACTATACAGCCATAATCCTGTTTACAAAATGGGCTTCATGCAAGTGCTTTAGATTGGACTGATCTGACTCAGACAGGGAAAGAAAAGATGCGGATGTCAGGAGCTTTTGGGACAAAAGTTTGTCCTGTTACAGAGGGATTTGGGGTTGGGAAGAGGGTTCTCTGTGTCCAAGCCTGGTTCAGAAATGCCATGAGCAGGGCCAGAATCCGGCAGTGATGTGACACTGTCTGTCCTCTGCACACAAAAGTGCCTGTGTTGTATGTTCCCATTATTTCCCCCAGTTAGAGGGAAGGTTGGTGGATGCAGGTGCTTGTTAAACTCTTCCCCTGTGTTCATGCTGAAGTGCCAGATTAATTTTCTTCTGAAGCGTGCTCTATTTCAATGATGTTTGGAGATTTTCCCCCCAAAATAACTAACATGGATGAAAGGTTGCCTTAACTGTCCCTTTCTGCCCTCCCTCAGGCAAAGTGCATCATATTTGCCATAGTTCCCCTCAGAAAGGCTCTGGGATGTGGAGTATCTAAAACTGTAGCACAGGAGCTTGGTTCAGCTCTTCCCAAACTGCAGAACACAGTGTGCAGAGCCCCTGGTGTGGATTTTGCAGATGCTTGAAATTCATCTGTGTTGAAATTTTGTTTTTCCCCCCTTGTCGAATTTGGATGTCTTGAAGTTCCAAACCACCCAGTGTATTGGACAAGTCACTCGGTCACACTGAGCCTCCTTCTGTCGCTGTCTTGTCTAATATCATTGCCTGTTAGTCCTGCATGGGGCATCTGGTAGGGAAGGTAGGTTTGAAGTGTAAAATACTGGGGAGTGTTTTGTGCAGATTTATTGTCAGGCTCCCTAATCATAATAATGATGTCTGGAGCCAGCTTGTCAGTGAACAGCTAATGCACAGCATGTCATTTAAACCATCCAAAGCCAATGTGGAAGGGAAGGGATAGGGAGTTCTTTATCCTGCCCTCCAAGTCCCCTGTTTCTGGAGCTGAGCAGTGCTCATCTCAGAACTGGGAAGGCCGAGCAGGTGCTGGTTTGGGGTGATACAGCTGGTGTTGTGCAGTAAATTGGCAGCTCCAAACTGGGCTCCTGGTAGGTGGCTCAGTAGACCCAACCTGCCAGATTGTTCATGACGCAGGCGTGGAGATCCCGCCCCGCCCTTTGCACTCCAGGATCCCGCATTTCCAAGCCCTGCTGACCCTTGCCCTGTCCCAGCAGTGCCCACTGATGATGTGGATGTCTACTTCGAGACCCCAGCGGATGACAACGAGCACGCCCGCTTCCAGAAGGCCAAGGAGCAGCTGGAGGTCAGGCACCACAACCGCATGGACCGGGTGAGTGTGTGCCCAGTGTTTGTCTGGGCACGCTGACGGTGGAGAGGGTTCCTTTCCAGTTTCCAGCCTTCCCTGGGTTTCTTGCAGTTGGATTGTTATTTCTGCAGCGCTGGAAGAGAGGGATTAGATGAGATTGGATGTTAGGGAGAATTCTTTAGTCAGAGGGTGGGGAGGCCCCTGGCACAGGTTGCTCAGAGAAGCTGTGGCTGCCCCAGCCCTGGAGGTGTCCAAGGCCAGGTTGGACAGGGCTTGGAAGGTGTCCCTGCCCATGGAAGGGGTGTTGGCTTTAAGGTCTCTTCCAACCCAAGCCATGCTGGGATTCTGTGAATCATTGAGGGTACTCAGCTCACTGCCCAGAGGGCTTAACTTTTTAAACCCCACAGCAGAGCTCTGTTGTGCCTTCAAAACCTGGCCAGGCTGTGCCAGGATCTGCCTGTGGAGGCGAAATGAGCTTGCAAAGATCAGATGTAAATTTGTCTCTTGTTGATGTCTGTCCTTTTCTTGTCCAGGTGAAGAAGGAATGGGAGGAAGCTGAGCACCAAGCTGTAAATCTCCCCAAGGCAGAGAGGCAGACTCTCATCCAGGTAAGAGTGCAAGGACCTAAAGAGGAAAGTTACTGAGAGAGAATGTAATATTGAGAGCCAAAAGATGACTGAGATGGAAGCACAGCCTTCCTGCTCTGTCAACAGCTGCCTTTTAGAGCAGGTTTGATTCAACTGCATTCTTTGTTCTTAAAGCTGGAGATGATGTGACCCTGTGCCAGGCCCTTTCCTAGACCCACCAGTAGGAAGTGATCTCGCCCTTCAAGCGTAGCAACAGCAGAGCCAAATTGTAATTTCAGACCTTTGGCCCGTTTTGCCCTACCCAGTGGCCTCAGAGCCTGGGTCAGACTCAGCCCTGGCTCTCTGGACACACATTTCCTGGTGGGGCAGACTTAGTGAAAACCGCTTAGACAGCAGATAAAGCTGGTTTGCTGCCAAAATGCCAATCTCAGGCCTCCTGGGGGGAGTTCAGCTGGGCTGTGAAGTTAATCAGGGATATTCATGGTGTGGGATTGTTAGGGGAAGGCTCTTCTGGCAGTGACAACTATATGAATTTCCCTCAAACCCCAATATAGAACAAAGTGACTGACTCCAGCTTTTCATCCCACTTTGGATTTTATCCTGGAACACAGTTTTCTCTCTGCATTTTTTAATGTAAGTCACTGTTTGGAACTCTGTGCAAGTCCATCATCTCTGGTGGAACACAACAACTCTTAGTCATATGTTGTAGTTGGTTTGGAGATTCTATGACTTCTGGAGGGATTGTGACCTTTCTAACAGAATGTACAGAGATTTGATCTGAAGGTGTGCTGATGGAAAATCACCTATGCAATATGTAAACCCTTGCAAATTCAAAGTAATGGCTCCAGGCTGAAGGGATCAATCCTGTTTCCATACTGCGGGGTTGAGGGAAAGAGAAGATACTGTGTCAGTCATTCAGCACAGCCTGGATCTCCTAACCCCCAACAAGGTCATTTTCCTCCTTCGGACCTTTGTAATGGCCTGTGAGGGGAGTTTGAAAGGCAAATTGTCACTGTTGAATTTGCAAAGATGAAGTCTGCATCAGCATCTTCTGCTACTGCTGTGAAGGGGTTGGACGTGGAGTTTGACAGTGACTGGTAGCTCTAAGGAGTTACCCGAGTGAGAGCAGGTGCCCCTGGTCACATAGTGCATTTCATGCAGACAGCTTTCTTTGTCCCAGCACTTCCAGGCCATGGTGAAGTCTCTGGAGAAGGAAGCAGCAAGTGAGAAGCAGCAGCTTGTGGAGACTCACCTGGCTCGCGTGGAAGCGATGCTGAACGATCGCCGTCGCATCGCCCTGGAGAACTACCTGGCTGCCCTGCAGGCCGACCCACCACGGGTGAGCTGCTCTCCAACACATTCCTACAGCAGGACAGCACTGGCTAGGGTGGAATGGGGCAATGTCTGGATGAGAAGGTGGCCTGTGACTTGCTGGGGCAGAAACTGGGAGTAGGTTCCCGGGAAAACTTTCTCCGTCGTGGCAGTTTGTGCTGCAGACTTGGCAGTGGGGTCTCCTAATTGACTCACTGGTGAAAAAGCCCTCTACTTTATTTGGTGTCCATAGGGCACAGTTCAGAAGGCATGGTGTTCTCAGTCAAGCAGGCTTGATTAATAAGTGTTCTGAGTCAAACAGGCTTGATTTGAAAATGTTCTGAGTCAAACAGGCGTAATTTAAAAAGAAAACATCTCAGAGGAGAGTGCAGGTGGCAGATCCGTCCGACCCCAAAGCAGGCTGCCACCTGAGGTGCTGTTCTCAGCTGTGAATCTGATTTGAGTGCCGTGGGTTTGAGCTGTTCCCTGCTCCCCTCCGCAGCCCCACCGCATCCTGCAGGCCCTGAAGCGCTACGTCCGTGCCGAGAACAAGGACCGGCTCCACACCATCCGCCACTACCAGCACGTGCTGGCCGTGGACCCCGAGAAGGCTGCACAGATGAAGTCCCAGGTATGAGGAGGTTTCATTGTTACCCAGCCCTGGCTGTCAGGACTCTGAGAGCCCTGTGCTGTTGGGTACTATAGCAGTGTTGCCCTTGTGCAACCTCCCCCTCACCAGATGCACAATTTTCCTTGGTCCTTGACTCTGTAAAAAACTGAAACTCTGATTTATTTTGGCCACAATGACAGGTCAAGGGGTTTAGAACTAGTTCAGTATCGACATTGTGTTTCCTTTTATCAAGCACCCATGAAATTACTTGTTGAGAGGCTGGTCTTCCTTGAACATCCTTCCTCACACCTTCCAAGACCTCATGTCTGTGTTCCTTTCATTAGATTAAGCTTGTTCTTCACTGTGCTGGGGGGTTGTGGGAATTGTGCCTCTGCAGAGTTATTGCCTGGTTTGCAAAGCCTAATACATGACCCTTTCCAAGCACTTGATAATTGTGGTTAACCTTATCAGAAAGTCTTGTTTTGATGAGTTCACGTTGTACTCCTGAACAGCAGAAAATAATTTTCCTTCTACTGGGTAGAAGGAAATGGTGTGTGAATGTGCTGCTTCAAACCTGGCTAGAACAGTAACAGATACTCCACAAATCTTTGGAATTAAGCACTGATACTTGTTTTCCCTTGTTTTAAAATGGTAAAAGATTATCTCAAAGGTCCAAGTGATTCAAAATTCAAATGAAGAATGGCCTGGTAACATCGAAAGATCTGTTCATAAGGGCTCAGAGAGAGCTGACTGCCCAGTCACAGCTTTAGGAATGTTTTCCCAGTTCCAGTTCGTGGCTGATTTGCTGCTTTGGAATATCTTTGAATTTTGTAATGTGTTGATATATAAGGAGAAGGGAAAAGAACAGAGAGCTGCAGGGAGACAGTGTAGTAGAGCACATCCAGTGCTGCCAGATGGAAGAAAGAAGCTGAGGAAAAATGCATTAAAAAGAGCTGTATTCTTGCACTGAACCCTGAGCAGTCCTTAATTCATTGTGAGGGCTGCAGTGTCAACAGATCGACGTGCCAGGGGTGTGGGTGGCACCGTTCAATTTCCATTCCCTTTACTTTGCAGCTGCACTTTTAAGCTCCTCAATCGATCCCCTTGATTGACAAGCTGCCACGTGTAAAATTAAATCGCTTTCATCCTTGCTCTTAAAGGTCAGGCACACATCAGACTGTAAAGCAGGTTCATCCAACTCCTTGGGGTTTTTTTTTCAGCGTTGGGCTGCCCATATGAAATGTTCTCCAAGCTCTGTGTGATCCCTGATTGTGCAGCACCCTCTTCAGGTCAGGCCTGACTTCACCGCTGCACTGAACGTGCTTGGGAGGAGCAATTGGAGCCTGCACAGGGTTAGAATGTATTCCTCAGATGAAGGGAGAACATTGTTGTCAGCGAGTGGGTGTCAGACAAATGTAATGGCACCGTTGGTATGAAAGGCACCTTTGTTCTGAGACCAGAGTTGATAAATAATATTGTCTACTCCCTTTGCCTGTATTTTCTCTTGCAGTCAGGGATGATAATCCATTTAATAAAGCACTTGCAGCTGCTGCAGGAGATGAATTATGACCCTGTCTGGCATATGGGAAATACCAGCCTCAGTGGTGTTTCGGTGTTTCCAGTGGAGAGCTGGTTACAAGTGTCAGCTGAATCCTCTCTCTCATCCCTTACACTTCCCAAAATACTGAGAGCAACATGCACAGATGGCCAGTTCCAGGGAAGTGTGATGTGTTGGAGAAATCAGTCAGAGAATGGACTAGATAGCCCTGTGTCCCATGGCAGACCCACCAGTTGTAGATATTTTATTAAGCAAGGGAAGAATCATGAAGTGACTGACAGCCTGTGCCCACTCCAACACACTCTTGTGCATCTGCAGGTGATGACACATCTCCATGTGATCGAGGAGCGGATGAATCAAAGCTTGTCTCTGCTCTACAAGGTACCATATGTGGCTGAAGAAATCCAGGATGAGATTGGTGAGTGTGGGTGCCAGTTCATATGCCATGTTAAAACTCCAGGCTTTTGTATCCAGCGGGCTCCCAAAAGACTGGTAGCTCCTTTTGGGGGGATGCCCTTGACTACAAGCACTCAGGGCAGACACTCTGGGGTTTGTAAGACAGGCAGAATAGCTTGTTCCCGAGAATTCTCACTGTCTCCATTAAAAAAAAAAATCAACAACATTCAGAATAGCAAAGCTGTCTCTCTGAGGGAGGTGAAAAAGGTCCATAAAAATAAGCAGATGGTTCCCAGTTTTATAGTTTAATCCCATCTTGCCAAACTCTCTTGCCACATCAAGCCTCTTGGCCCTTATTTGTACATATTTCTAACAAATGAGAGAATTTTACTGAGAATTCCAGATGAGATTTCAGAGCCTGCAGGAGAAATAACCTGGCAGCCCCGAACACGTCCCCCTGCAGCTCTGCCTCGGCGAGGTTCAAACCATCTGCCCCTCTCTGGCCCTGCCAGGCTCCGTGGGGTCTGTGGGACAATTCCTCCTCTCCCTTTCAGATGAGCTGCTGCAGGAGCAGCGTGCAGACATGGAGCAGTTCACATCCTCCATTTCCGAGTCCCCGGTGGACGTCAGGGTGAGCTCTGAGGAGAGCGAGGAGATCCCCCTGGACGGCAAACCCTTCCGGCCCTTCCAGGTGAAAACCTTCCCTGCTGGGCCCGACAGTGAAGGTATGTGCAGTTGGGAACGGGCTCACCGCTCTGGGTTTGTAGTCTGTGGGCTCAGCTGGCACAGAGAAAGCTCCATCCCCTGGGGTGATGTCAGAGGAAAGCAGTTGCCCCAGCAGTACCCTCGATCTGTCCATTGGAGAGGCAGTGCCACTCTGAGCTGCTCTCTTTGATTTTCTGATTTTCTCTTTGCAAAATTGTCCTCTCTCTTTTCATTTTGCATCAAGTATTAAGTTTTTCCCATGTGGCTTGACTCTGAATTTTCAGTTTTTGACCAAAATGCTCGCATGGAACATTAAGTCTTTATGCCATTACTTTATTTTTATTTTTTTCAATTTTTTTGCAGGAATTTTCTGTATTTTTTAAATTTTTTTTGCAGGAATTATCTTTGTTTTTTTTTTTTTTTTAAAATACATACCTCTGTTTTTTGGAGCATCGAGTGTTGACAGCTGGCGTGTGCGTGTGTATGTATTTTAAAAATGCTTGAACAAGAGTCCTGAGCTTAAAGAAAGCTGTAGACTAAAAGCTTTTCCCAGGGTCTGAGTCAGAAATCATGCACAAGCCTTTTTTCCCTTTCTCTCTTAATCTCCTTTCTCTGCTATTTTTGTTTTTGTTTTCCCTCCTGCTAGATCCTCAGCCGGATTTGTACCATCCAATGAAAAAAGGTTGGTTCTAAGCTGCTCCCTCACAGTGCTTTCAATCACTCTCCTCCCTCCTCAGTGTGTCTGATAGCTTCATTTTAGTTCCATGCTCACCTTGGTTTTCATTTCCCTGCTCTCACCTAGATCAGTAACGTTCGATTTGCTTGTTTAGGCCTAGAGTTAAAAGAAATTACCTCGTCTGAGCATCTAATTGTGTGTGTGTTCCTCCCTGGTGGGCTCACGAGGGTCTTGGAGTGTGTGGAGGGGCTCCTTTGCCCTGGAGGAATGCTGGGGGTGTGTCTGCAGCGCTGTGGTTCTCTGCACCTCTCGTGTGACGCTGCTCAGATTAAACCTTGCCGTGCTGGTGGAGTCCAGAGGCTTTTCTGCCTCCTCTGGAATCTGTCCTTGATGCCTGGTGACACCACTAAACGAGGAAGGGGGATTCTGTTTCCCAGCTGAACGTCCTCACAGAGCACAGTTCTAGTCCGGGACAGATAAATTAGGAGTTTCCTCCTTTGTGTCTCCTCAGCATCACCTTTTCACCTGTAGCACCTCTCCATACCAGCAAAGTCCATGTGATTCTCCATTTCTCCCTTAGCTCGGTGTTAATTCTGCAGTAACTCAGTGCCTGGCTAAAAAATGGGCTTTAAGAGCAGCACAGAAATATTGGCATTAAATCAACATCTTTGTTAGCAGCACAGTCTCAGGTACAGAGCAGTAGAAATGTGAGGCTCTTGCAGATCAGTGCTACCTGTTCTCTGTGTGAGGAGTAAACCCAGTGTTTTGATCTGCCTTTGGCTCCAAATACATTGTGCAGACCTCAAAGGAGAGCAAAGGATTTTGCTAATAACCATTTCACATGAGCACAAATAGTTCTGTAGCACCATGAAGGCCAGATAGCTTGAAACTGTTCTCATTATCCTGCTTTTCATTACAAATGTAAGTCACCTTCATCCCTGTTGTGGAACAGTGTACAGCTAATTCAGTGTGCTGACTGCTCTGGAAGGAATTGGGACGGCCTTTAGTTTGATTTTTTTTTTATTTGCTAAATTTTTGGACAACTGCTTTGCTGACTTGAAGATGATAAATTTTAAATTTGTGCTAGTTCTCCCTGTTTGAGTAAATGTAAGAGTTTCTGATGACCTGGGGACAGAATTCCTTCCTTCCTTCCCTTTTCATTGAATTGCTTGAGGGCTTTGAGGGAGTTTTGGGATTGGTTTTTTTGGTTTTTTTTTGTGCAGGTGTGTGGGGTTTTTATCCCCTGGGAAGTATTTAATTTAAACTGTGCCTTTGAGCTCCACAAAACTGGGTCTGTTACTTGGTACAGCACTCTTGAGACAAATAGCAGAGCTGAACTGCCAGCCCTGGAGACGGTGCTGCCGTGGCTCCAGAGACTGGGAGGAAGCAGCCACAGGCCAAAAGCTGACAGAGTAGTTGTGTGCAAACTGTTTGTGGCCAGTGGCTCCTGAAAATCCCAATCATTGACTCCCACAATAACACGACCTGCTTCGACAGCCTTGAGAAGTCAGACTGGCAGCCTGGGCCGTGCCTGGAATCTGATTACTGCCTCCAGGGAAAAATGGGATGCACTAAAACCCAAGGTGCCTCAGAGTTGGAAGGAAATGTTATTTCTGTGGCAATTTCGGGCAATCAAAGCTTGTCACTGTAAGAACTTGCTTTGGAGCCAAGTAGCCTTTCCTTGCAGCTCATCAGAGAGCACGCTGCCAACTTCAGCAGCAGCTGACATCATGTCTTAGGCAACCTGCAAGCTCAGCAGCCCGTGCAGAGGGGTTTGCAGTCACCAGCAAGGCCTCAAGTGCTTTGGTGGTATTTCCCTCACTGGAGGGATCCCACTGCAGGTTTGGGGCTTGGCTGTCCTGCTTTGGCACCCGTGAGTCACAGGTGTGGTGCAGGACACAGCATCGTCCCTCCTGACAGTGGAAGACTGGTGTTCTCCCAACGTGCTGTGTTGTGTGAGGTCAGAGCAGTTTGCATCAGACTCTTCTCATATTGATCTGGTCTATTTATAAACTCTCTGGATCAAAGCAGTTTATGCAGAGCAGCCACCTCCTGTTAATTGCTGCCCTTCTCATGAGCCTGTGCTAGTTCCAGCCTGGAAATGGGGGAGAGGTGTCCTGGTACAAAGGCTGGTGTAGTTCTCTGCTCCTCCCTTGCCCTGGGATTTATTGTTTCTGGGCCTGTGCCAGACACGGGACAGCCGCTCGTTATAGAACTGAGCTGGGTGACCTTGGAATTCTCATTCCCGAGGCTCCTGCTGGTGTGCCTGATTCCAAAAGGGTGGGGTGAAGGCATTCCCTGTGTGCTGGCTCTTGGCAGAGGGGTGTGTGTGCACTTCCACCCCGGGGGTCCCGGTGAGGTGCTGGTGACCCGGGGTGGCACTCGCAGATGTCACTGCACTCACAGCTTGGTTACACCTTGCCTGGGGCCTTCTGTCAGCAGCACTTAGTGCACTGTATCTGCATTGACTCTTCAGCCTGGTTTTGGTGAGTCCTGTCTGCTCCTCTCATTGCCACCTCATTTCCCCTCATTAACAGCCCCCCCTAATCACTTGTCGCTGTAGCGTAGCTCGTGAGCTCCCTTCTGACACGGCAGCATGAGGACAGGGTAATCCTCAGCGGTTAAACACGAGCAGTGGCAGCTCTGCAGATATAGGTGACCCTCCCAGGCTGTGCTGGGGGTTGATGGGCTCCCCTTGCTCTTTTGGTGCAGGTTCTGGCATGACTGAGCTGGACGGGCTGATCGGCGCCGAAGAAAAAGTGCTCAACAGCAAGAACAAAGTGGATGAAAATGTGGTGAGCTCTCCACCTCTATTTTGGGAAGCCAAGCCTGCCGTGGACACTAATTAATAGCAGTGGCTTGTTTCCATGCCTTGTTCCTGCTCACAGAATGTCAGTGTGTTCATTATCCATCTGGTGTGGGGGAGTCAGTTTGTGACTGTTGTAGGCTCTTAATACTGATTAGCATCAGAAGGGTGGGAGGGGGAGGGAAGGACAGCTCGAGATCTTTGGCAGTCTGAGCTGGAGGACTCTGATTTAGGAACTGCTTTTCCCAAGCAGAGACCCTCTGATGTCCCTTTATTTCTTAGGTAGCTTGCTGTGTGAACACACTGAGTGCTGGTGCATTCTATCTGTGTTCCCACCTATTTGTCATGGCAGGAAAGGCCTCACCTTCCTCTGAAGGCAAGTGGCCCAGCAGGTATTGGCTCTGTCTACAGTGCAGAGAATTCTCCAGGTTCTAGTGGCAGCTGCTGTGCCTGGGCTTTAAAAAATAAAGTTCCCTGGGCTTTAAAAAATAAAAAAAAAAGTCACCTTCTGACTTCCCTTTCGAAACTGCTTTAAAGCCATGTGTTAGGTCTTACACAGAAATGCTGGCTCCAAAGTTAGGACCTATTTTTTAATTGTTTTTTTTCCTTTGGGGCTTTAGTTTGAGGTAGTCTGGAGGTACTTAGTTGTGGTGCTGATTCTGGTGGCTTTAAGAGCTGGAGAACATCCCACACTGTTGAGACCAGGGCAGAGAGAGGTGGTAGATGGTTCTGAGCCTTTGCTTGCATTCACTGGAGGTCTCTGCTCTGCCTGCCTCTTCCTTTTCCTCCCTGCTTTGTGTGGCTCCTTTCACAAAACACTTCTGGCACCATTTTCAGGTAATTGATGAGACCCTTGATGTGAAGGAGATGATTTTCAACGCGGAGCGTGTCGGTGGGCTGGTGGACGAGCCGGTACGTACAGCCAGGGATTGGCAAATTCCAGGCTGGATTTTGATTCCCATGCATCGCTGAATTTGGGGGTTGGTGCCTGGATGCTGCCCTGGGAGGTCAAGCAGAGTGAAATAATTTACAGGCCTTCTGATAAAGATGTAAACAGTGAACACACGTTGGATGCTCACCTGGTTCTTACTGCAGAAGTGTTTTGTGGGGTAGGGAGTTGATGTGGGTCAGTGCCTGTCCAGAGGCACTAAGGGGGGAAAGAATTCTGTGTTCATTACCCTTTTGCTGGAATCTTTAGGGGTGGAATATATACACTGTCCAGTTTATAACAAGTCATGTCTCGATACCACAGATGGTTGAAGACCTTGTAAGTGGCCACCATTTAGGTGAGCATCTCCCTCATGGCTCTTCCTCAACCTGCTCCGTTGTTTTCTTCCCTCCAGGATAATGACAACTCCCTCCGTGATGATTTCAGCTTCAGCAGCAGTGCCCTGATTGGGCTGTTGGTGATTGCTGTTGCCATAGCTACTGTGATAGTCATCAGCTTGGTGATGCTGAGGAAGAGGCAGTACGGGACCATCAGCCATGGAATTGTGGAGGTGAGAAACAGCTCCATAGCCGAGGATGAAAATAGTCAGTGCTGAATCACATGTTGTGTGTGGGGGGTGAAGATGGCAGGGGCTGCCAAGCCATGGGCAGCTCTGCTCCTGCTGGGTGGGAATTAACTCTGTCGCTGCTGACACTGCCACCGGTGTGCAGGTGTCAGTCCCCGGCGTGCCCTGCTGGTAAGTGTGAGTGCCAGGTGCCACCAGGATTCAATTAGGCTTCCTGGCTGGCTCAGGGCAGGATTTAGCAGTAAATGAGCTTTTCAGGGGATATCTTTAGCAGGGCAGTCAGTCACTCAGTCCACAGCAATTTGTCCTCCTGGCTAATGGCGGTGACTGTTAAGATGGGCTGAACGCTGAGCAGCAGCTCCTTCCTTGCACATTCCTAATGACAACTTAATGGAGTCCAGGGAAAGCTGCTTTTCCCTTTGCCCAACTGATGCAGGAAATCATAACGACCTGTTTAATGAGAGAAGTGGGGCCCTGATTTGTACCATTAGCTGGGTAGTGATGGCAGATTGGTGAGAACATCCCCACGGAGGCTCGGCCGGGCAGGAGGCACCCGAACGAGCAAATCCATAAAGCTAATTATTTTTTGCAGCTTCCCTTTTTCCCCCTGTTCACTGCTCACCGTGTTAGTTACTCAGTGTTTGTCTGTCACCTCTTACCCTGTGGAATAAATCCTGGCCGTGCCTCCTGTGAGCAGCAAGGTGGTTTCTCCCCAGGTTGACCCGATGCTCACCCCGGAGGAGCGGCATCTGAGCAAGATGCAAAACCACGGCTACGAGAACCCCACTTACAAATACCTGGAGCAGATGCAGATATAAGAGAGATGAAGATACAACAGCCCTGACCAGGAAAGGTGCAGGGTGGAGGGCCAAAGTGGTCCAGTGTTTTGGATCAACTACTGACCAACAGTTGCTTCGAGAGGACTTCATCTTACATTCAGAACTCCTGGATCATTAAGACTATAATTACTACTGTAGAGTTGCAATTTCCATTCTTTTAAATGGGTGAAGAAATGATAATATAACAATATGATATATAAATCTCCTTAAATGGGAAAAATGGATCTATTGCAGATATTTGACTGATATGTAGTTTTCTTTTTTTTTTTTTTTTAAATAATCTGAAAAATACCAGTTCCGTTGTACTGTTGTCTGTTACGAGCTCTATATATATAAAATGGGAAATGTTGATCTTTATTTCTGATAGACCACCTGTATATTGAGGGTCGTTTGTACCAGCCCACCTTGTAAAAAGGAGACAGTTGTGGCTCTTCAGTCATTTTGGCTTTTATATATAAAGCAGTATTCCTTTTTTTTTTTTTTTTTTTTTTTTTAAGTGAATTTCGCTGGGAGTTGCAAAGAGATTAATTTAGGGATAGGAGCTATGACAGCATAAGCAAGGAAGCAATTGGGAATGGTAACTAACAAAAACCCTTATGATGAAAAAAAAAAAGAAAAAGAGAAAGAAAAGAAAAAAAAAAAAGAAAACCCCCATCCTCATATGCCAGTGGTGTGCACCCTGCTGCTTAGCAGCTCGGGCTCTAGGAATCAACACTCCCTGGAGGCAAGGAGTTAAAAGGCTTCTAGCATCTCTGTTTATAGCTATTCTAGTGGAACGTTAGACCATGGTTTGTGCATACAGGGGTCTGCACATTCGCCTCCCAGATTCAGTTCTGCTCTAGAGTTGGAAGTTCCTGGTAATTGAATTGAAATCCTCTGTTCTCAGCCAGTTTCCTTCAGTACTCACCTGGCATTAACAGCCCCCTCTTGCTACTACTTTCTAATTTCCCCAGCTCTCCTGCCTCACCAACATGGTAAGTAAGTTCAGAGCCGCAGATTTTGGAGCCTTTGCATCTCTCTGGGGGACGTTGGGCCCTGGGCACAGCTCTGGGGGTTGGCCCAGACGTGACAAAATCACTGCAACGGTCGGGACCTCGGGAGCCGACGAACACAGAGCTCGCTGAGCTGGGGAGGGGAGAGGGACACCTCGGGGAAGGGATGCTGCCTGCCTGCTGTAAGGGAAATGGGATGCATAGGCCCCCAGAAGACCAAAAGGGGTATTGTTCCACTCACCATCATGTCTTTGTAATGCTTGTATAGTTGGTGTTAATGCTCACGGCTTTTTTAAATCTGGAGGTTCTGGTAACCTGTGGTGTATTTTTTCTATTTTTCCTGTGACTTTTATTTTTTCTTCCCCCCCTTCCGTGTCTCTTCCCACTATGCACAGATTTACCTGCAAACTCCTTAGTGTGGTCTGTGGGGAATGTACAAAGTTTAAACACATCAATAAACACTTTAACTTCCAGACTGGTTTCTTCTCTTCATTCTCGGGCTCGGTTTGTTCTCCCTCCTCCCACCGTGTCCTGCTGAACCCACGGAGACCTTTCCCTGCCTTCTCAGGGAGAAGGACTGTGCAGGTATTGATGATTAACCATGCCTGGGGTCTTTAGTGGTATTCCCAAGTCCTTTGTGGAGAGAAGGACGTGGGACCATAACCAGCTCTCGGGATCTTTTTACAACAGATTGGAGCACGGGCTGGGGAGATCTGGGACTGCTGCTTGTTTGGGGAGGATCCTGTGGAAGGTTCTGCTCGTTCCTGGGATGCAGGTGGCTGCTGGCACGGCCTGTGGGAGCCAGCAGAGCCAAGGCACCCTGTGGTGACAAGCTGTTCTGTCCCCAGACATCCAGCTGCACTTGCTGGGGACAGAGCTGGGCTGGGAGCACAGGGGCTGTGCTGGCTCTGCCTCACAGCCTGGGTCACCCACAGGCCTTAGGAATGGGGCTGGGAACAAGAAGGGCTGTAGGAAATTGTAAAATTCCTGGAGATGAGGGCATGGAAAAGGCCTCACAGCGACACAGGTTCTGTGAGTGCAGGTTCCATCCCTGTTCACTTACGAGCTGGACTTGATGATCCTTGTGGGTCCCTGCCACGTCAGAACACTCTGTGAACTCTGTGAATGCTTCTTGTGAATGGCCAGAGCTGAAATACTTTGAAGACACAAAGCCCAGGGCAGGATTTGGCTGACAATGGTCGGTGTTCCCTGTGTCACCGCAGATGTTGTTGTTTCACGAAGGGAAATAACTGTTTGGTTTAACTCTCTTTTCCAGAACATCCTAAATCCAACAGCCTGTAAAGCTCAAAGCTGTCTCTGCTCCTCTGTGTCATTTCTCTCCATTCTCCTCCTTTGAAGTGTGACCTCGAGCACAGATTCCTCCCCTCTCTCGCCTCAGTGAAATGACCGAAGAGTCACTGCCACCTGAATGTCATTTTAGGAGGCAAGAAGCAGAATTAATCTTCCTCCACGTTGATCTGTGCAGTTCCCACCAGGAATGGATGAAGAGGGGGACAGGAGGAGGTTTAGTGATTTGGAACAAGGAACTGCCCTGTTCCTCCTGAAACCAAGGGCTCCTTTGGTTGCACTGGAACCTCCACATTCCGGTTAAATTATTCAGACTCCGAGGAAAGAGCAGATGCTGTCCTAGAAATGCCTTCTGTTGCCTTGTCACAACCGCTTGGGGAAGAGTTTTGATTTCAAACCAGATTTGATTTCAGTGATGCCCAAGCATTTCCTGAGCCCAAAAGCCATTCTTGGACTGCACCTCAGGTGGAGTGACCTGTGAGAGAGAGACAAATGACAGAGGCTGTTGTGGATTGAATTCCAGAATTGAATTTGGGTATTAGATTTTTTTTTTGTTGTTTTTCCCCTTCAATAAATTCTGTTAGCCCTGCAAAATGAATACATCAGCCTGGGATCAAAGTCTATTAGACCCAGGCCTTGGCAGGGACTGCCAAGTGCTCGGGATCGATTCTTTAGGATGGATTTTGACCTCAGCTTCTGAAAAGTCGTGTTGAAAAGTAACTGCTTGGAGATTGATGCTAAGACACGTCCCAGGTGTTAGTGGTAAATGTTGTCACTGATCCCAGCAGTTTGGGGGAATATCAGAAGTCCTGTGTTGATAAATCACTTAAAATTAGATGATTCAGGGCACAGTGGAGCAGTTCATTGTGGGAAGATTTGCAGGGTGTTGTAGAGAGCTGCATTTCAGGAGGAAACTCTGATTTTAAAAAGTGCTTTAAGAGGAGAGCTCAATTCTCTGGAAAAGAGAGAGGATGTTGGAGAGAGGGGCCCTTGGGAACACCGAGTGGAGGAAGTGCTGGGTCAGTTGTCTTCCTTCTCCTTGAGAAGCTCTTTGTTTCAGCCCTCCTGTGAGGGTGCAGTGGGGCAGTGAACATCAAAACCTTCTGTGTTCACTGCCAGGTGGATGGAGCGTGGGTGGATTGATTTTTTTTTTTCTTCTTTACCAGCCTTGCTTGTCTTTGATGTGCAGAGCAACACTTGTGTGAAGTGTTGGTTTGTGATGGCTCATCCCTGGCCAGCAGCAGAGAAGGGAGGTGCTCGTGAGGAGCTCAAGGACGTGGTGAGGCAGCGCCTGCTGCCCTTCCCTCTGCTGCTCCATCAGAAGGGGACGCTCTCCCGAGGGAGCACACGGATCCTCAGCCCTGGGGGGGCTCCAGGAAGATGTTTGAGAGCTGCAGCTCTCAGGGTGAGGGGCCCTTTGGTCCAGCCCGAGAGCGGCACTTAAAGTTGGGGTCCCCACACAGGGATCTGTGGGGGTCTGCAGGGCGGGTGCAGCTTGTGCTGGAGGCTCTGCTGTGGCAGAGGCTGCCAGATGTGCACAGGAGGGGCAGCAGGGATGAGCCAGAGCGTTTCATGGGACATGGTGACTATAGCAGGGACAGAGTAAGGTAGGGACAGTGGAGCTGTTCGTGATTTTGGGTCTCAGAGGGACCACGTGCAGCTCACCTGGCTGTGACCCTCAGCAGCAGCACGGGCTGGAATCCTTAGGGAGCTGTAGGGCAGCAGGATCAAAACCTGCTTCTCTGGTGCAGGAGTCAGAGCATCCTTAATCTGTGCCAAATGCCTCCCCCAGATCCACCCCTTCATCCCTGCAGAGGGGGGAGAAGGCAACAGAGACAAGGTTTTAATCCCTGTATGTGTGATTCAGCAGGAGTGAGTGGGTTAAAAGCAAGAGAGTTTTGCTGTATTTACCACTGACCTGTGGGTAGCCCCTGCTTTGTTGCAGGAGCACTTAACCCCTGGCCTGTGGGCTCTCTGTGTGGGCTGCCAGGACAGGTTAATGTAGAACTTTATTTCCAGCAGCTCTGTCTTCATGAGAGCCATTTGAGAACAGGCTGTGGGCTGAACCAGCTGGTTGTTAAATACCATCAGGCCTTGGATGGCATCTGGGATGTTCCCTGAGCCCCTTGGGCTGAAAGTGAGAGAGAGGGATCTGAGGGAAGCGGTCCCATCTCCCCAAAACCTTAGGGTGCATGTTAATGGGATGGAGTAAAGACTCTGCAGGAGACCAGGTGATGGAGCACAGTCTGTGGAACTTGATACTCCTCCTCAGGAAGGTTCTGCTCTCGCAGCATCCTCAGTGCCTGAATTTGTGCTGCTTGTGGGCACCTTTGGCATCACCATGTGGGGTGGCACAGACTCTTCCAGCTCCTTTCCCCAGCAGGCTGAGTTTATATTCTGAATTTCTGGGGAGGTGATGTCCTGCAAGGAGGCTGTGTGTCCTGCAGGAGGTATTTGTGGGCTGGCTACACAAGGGAGGGTTGAACAGGACTCTGATCTAGTGCAGACTGGCACGGGAGCAGAGCAGAGCTGGTTTCTCCTGGGCTGGCACTGCCTCATCCAGGGCAAGGTGAGGATTCATTGTTTTCTCGTGGTGGTTTGGCAGGGAATAATCCTGCAGCTGGTGCAGGCTCCTGGAGCCTGGAAGGGACTTCTGGAGGGCATCTGGCCCTACTCCCAGCTCTGAGGTCAGACCAGGTCACTGTGTTGTCAAATATAATCCTGCCTTTTTCTGTATGGACTCCCCTTCCCCTCTGCAGGAGTTCTGGGGCAGGAAAATCTCCATCCATTATTAGCTGAGCTCAGTAAAGCTGAAAGGTGAATTCCAACTACACCTTGACAGGGGAATTTCATCCTTTTTTTTTTTTTTTTTTATCTCTTCTGTGCAAATACATTTATTTTGTGTGCCTTTATTTGCCTTTTTCTGGGGCTCAGCCCCTGTGGTGCCAAACCACTCTGTGTGTCTCCTTTTAATATCTGGATTTGGGATGCAATGGGATCATCTGTTTCCAGGCTGGCAGATTTTGTGTTATCCTGGGAATCTGTCGTGACAGACAGGAGTTTTCAGCAGGAATGAGGAAGGAAACCTCCCTCACTGCCATGTGAGTGTTTTATGCTGGCAAAGAAATAAACTGCAGGGGATGGATGGATTGGTGGTGGGTTAAGGTTTTTTTTGGGGGGCTGGGTTTTGGTTTTACCCCTTGCTGGTGCTTTGGGGTGTTTTGTGCCTTCCTCTGCTCATAATTCTGGGAAGGTTTAGGGTTTTTTTATTTACTGCCATCTCCTATTTTGAAGAGTGAACACCAAGAACGTCCCAGAGGCTCCTCTCTGATAAACACAAAACATCCTTAAACAACACTGGCATCCTTAATTTCTCAGGATGATGCATCAAGAATGTATTTTACTATTCTAGTTCTAAATTCAGGCCTATTTGCTTAAATTTATTTTTAAAAACCAGTGAACACTTGAATTTCCAATGCCCCAAAATCAGTAGTGGAATTGAATCTTATCCAGGAATCAGTTTCTGAACCGATTTCAGAATCACACTCTGGGTTTAAATGGGACATTATTTATTCCTGGGCTGTCAGTTTATATTTTTCCAAGAGACTTATTGGAGTTGTTTGGGGATTTTCAAGTGTTCCCTAAATTTATAGGCCATAACCAGGGACAGGGGCCTGGATTGTGTCCATCCAGCAATACTTTACTGCTATATTAGAAATACCTTAATGAAGAAAGAAGCTTCAGCATGGAAATTATAGGGATTTTTTTTTTTCCCAAGAAGGACTTAGAATTTGGCTCACTTGAAAGAGTAGCTGATATTCTGTGGTTTTGGAGGCCAAATAAACCACAGGACCTCCCTTCAAGGTGGTTGGTGTGTTGTTTTTTAAGGTATAAATTCAGGGGAGGGGGGACTGTAATTTTCATTTTCCTGGGGGGTTGTGCTCTAACATTTCCCATCTCAGAGGTTTGGAATTTGGCTTGCAGGGGTTTGGGTGTGGGTTTTGTTTTGGTTTTTTTTTTTGCTTGTTTGTTTTGTTTTTATAATTATTATTTTTATCAGTTAAAAATATTCTTTATTTTAAAAATAAAACTAGAAATAAAAATAAAGGAGAGTAGAAGTAACAATAAGGAAAAAGAATAGTAAAAATTAAAAAAAAATCCAGGCAGAAGCTGGAAAACTTTCCTTTCCTTGCCAGCACTTCCCCAGCTCTCCTGCCTTCTCTGGACACCCTCCAGCACCTCAATGTCTTTCTTGGAGTGAGGGACCCAAAACTGAGCACACAATTCGAGGTGCAGCCTCCAGACCCTTGGATGAGATTCAGGTTTATGCATCCTCAGGGAGGATAAATAAGCCTGTACTGCTGACTGTTGTTTCTGCAGTCACTGGAGTTAATAGGCAAGAAATGCATTAAGATTAAAAAAAAAAAAAAAAAAAAAAAGAAAAGTTAAAAAAATTAGAAGTTCTGGAAGAGAGGAGTGACCTAGAAAATCTAATTGTTCTCTGAACAGCAATTGCCCTAAGTTTGGAAGCTCTAGTTTACTAATTAAGCTGAAACAGTAGATTTTAGTGGTGCTTAAAGTGCTAATTTCAACTGCTCTTTAAACCGTGAATCTCCAGCAAGTCTCTCAGCAACAACAACAAAAGGTTTTGCACAGCAATGCCTCACCGAGGGTCTGCAGAGCTCCTCAGCTCTTCCAGCAGCAACTTCCCATGTTCTCCAGGAGCTTCTCCTCCTTCCAGCTGCAACAAGGCAGATTATCCACATCCCTGCACCTGTCTGGGACCAACAGCACTGACAGAGGGGGGAGGAATTCCTGAAAAAGGGATCCAGTGCTCTGTAGGAAAATAACACAGGGCCAGTGTATATTCAATAATGAGCTCCCCAGTGATTAAACCCACCCAGACACACATCCTAACCCAGCCTGGACAGGCAGGGACAGCAATGGAAGGGGGTGTCACAGCTCTGGATTCCCACCCCGTGTCAGGGTCACCCATGCCCATGAGGACACGACCAGCACGGGCAGTGATGGTTTTGGGGGATGGTGGAGATTTTCCTCACCACTTGCACATCACCCACTCATGGTCTGGGTTGGAAGGGACCTTAAAGCCCATCCTGTTCCACCCCCTGCCATGGGCAGGGACACCTTCCACCAGCCCAGGTTGCTCCAATCCCACACCCAGGCTGGCTGGGAACTGCTCTACAAACACAGTGACAGCCCCATTTCTTCTTCCTAATCCATTGACCCAACCTTGGCCACACCTCAAATACAGAGCAGCTCTACCACCCAACGTGATGACAGGTAATTTTGGGTGCCCTGTTCAAAGAAAACCCCCTTGGGCTTGGAGCATGATTCCCCTAAACCTGTTAAAACACACAGCTAGGTGATCAGTGTTTGCTCTTATTTACATCTGTTCAAAGAAAAAAAACATCCTCACTAAAACCTACATTTTATGTAGCCAAACCCTCAGTAAGAGATTCAGCACTGCAGAGGCAACTCCAGGGCAGGAAAAAAAAAAACCAGTAAAAAGTAACATTACTGATCAAAGGGGAAAGAGATTGTTTTTGCCTTTCTTTTCAATCAGAGCTCAGTACATCAGGTTGCAACCTCTGCACGAAGCTGCCCGTTAATGGCAGCCAGTCTGTAACAACTTGACACAGCGACCCCACTTCTGGGCCCAGGAGGATTGTTAATAATCAGAGCACATCACTCTGGTACAGGAGATCAACATCAGCCCCAGTTAAAGACAACTGGATCCTGAGAAACCAGTGCTCAGGGGGCCAGTTTGCTTTAGAATCCCAAAAAACTGTCATGTGTGTGGAGGTGCCAAAGGTGGGAGCCCAAAATGCTGCACTCACCTTGGCTTCTTTGCCCCTCAGGGTTCTCCTGTGGACAGCTGCCAGCAACACAGAGCACTGGTCTCCTTCCAGCCCTGCTCCAAAAGGGGGAAATACAAAAATAAAACACAAAAAATAAAAGATAAATAATAAAAAATTAAAATATAAAAATAATAATAAATTAAAATAATATAAAATAAAATAAAATAAAATAAAATAAAATAAAAATAAAATTAAAATAAAATAAAATAAAATAGAATAAAATATAAAATAGAATAAAATAAAATAAAATAAAATATGCAGTGCTCACTCTTCCAAGGAGCTCCCATGGGGCTGGGACCTGCAACCACCTTCAGCCAAGAAGGATGTTTCTTACCATCCCAAACTTGCTTGAGTTTTTGGAGCTGTGCAGCCCAGCAGGGACGTGTCCAGGCTGAACAGGCTCTTGCACTTCTTAGGAGAGGACAGTAAAGGTGTTGAAAGGTAGTAAAAACTATGCTGCTTGTGCTGCCCCACTCACCCAGCCCAGCCCTCAGCCAGGCACGTGGCACAAACATTTCAGATGCTGCTGCTGAAGTTTTTGATGATGGTTAGTGATGTTCCCTCACTAATCCTCCTTAATGCCACCTTTGAAACTGGGTTTTGATGTCGATGGCAGGAAGCACCTCTCCACCCTGTTCTGCTGCAAACCAAAGGAGACACCCAGACACCCAGAACTGAAGGGTTTCCTTTGGAAGGGACCAGCTCCAGGGAGGGAATAAAGCTGAGGTCTCTGCAGGGGTCTCAGGCACTTACCAACCCCTACCAGCTGAAGCCACAATCTGTGCTTCAAGGGACTCTCTCCAAGCTGAGCTCTGCCCACCAAACACCCCATCTGCCAGACACGCCAAAATCCAGGCCAAACCTCCCTCCTCACCCATCTAACTCTGTTAAAAACAGGCAGGAGAGCAGCTGCCTGCCAGTGCCAACGGGGTACCCACCATCCTTTCCATCCACTGGCCACCCACCAGGCACATGAGTCCATGTTAAACCACACACAGTCCCACCCCTCCAGCATTTTGTTCACCCCCAAACCATTCTGAAGCCAGCACTGCCTCAAGGCAGTGCATTCAAGAGATCCCTCCAGGTGGAGTGTTAAATAAAGTACTTTATTGGGTCCTCTGCACATCAAGCTTTGTACAAAAACCTCTCCATTAACACCAGGGTGAGCGGCGACCTCCGGGAGCTTTGAACGCTGGCTCAGCTCCCTTCTGAAGAAGCAGAAGTGAAAGTAACGTCAAAAAAGCAGCCAGGTTGGCCACACCGAGTTGGGCTCCACCAGCAAACCAGCCCTGCAGGGTGAGCTGCAGCCCTGAGGATTCAAACCTCCCTCCCAGACCAGCCTGGTTTGCTCTCGTGGCCGAAGGGACGCGGGAAAGGTTTCACATCCCTCTGCCTCCCACTCCTCGTGCTCCTCCGTCAAGCGCCGCTGCAGTTCACCAGGACTAATTAAAAACCTCGTCTCAAGAGCCCTAAGCCAGCAGGGAGGAAATTTTCATCGTGCCAGGGCCTCATTTGTCGTCGGCGCCGCTCTCGGGCAGCAGAGCCCCGCGGGAGCCCTTGGTGCGCAGGCACAGCCCGCAGTCCAGCTCCACGTCGATGTCCCCGAAGCGCAGCTGGCACGACTCGTTGCAGCTGCAGGAGAGACAGTGACAGAGCTCAGGGGTTTGTGGGCAGCAGGAGAGGCCCTTGGGAGGCTGCTCAGCACCGCCTGCCCCATGGGGGCACCGAGCTCGTCCCTCCCGGCCAAGCCACGCTGGGACGCTCGTGGACACCCACTTTTCTCATCCCATGACACGCACCAGTGATGGATTTCCCAGCCTAGCATGGGGTCTAGGGATTGTTCTTGCCCCCCTCCCCAGCTCCTGCACTGCTCCAGGGCCCCCCCAGGCCCCTGTCCCCCACGTACCAGCGGGATGCAGCCGAGTTGGCGCCCACGACGGCGACAGCGCCCAGGCAGTGCCAGCAGAAGCACATGGTGAGGAAGGTCAGGTTGCTGGCATCGCTCTGATCCCAGCCTGGTCCTCCCCAGGGAGGGGACAGCACAAACCCAATCTGGTCACAGACAAAAGAGATGTCAAGGCTTTAGCACATCCCCCCTCTTCTCCTCCTGATCTTAGCCAAGCTGCTGCAGCTGACTGTGGGCACGATAACCCCAGTAACACCTGGAGCACTGCCCTGGGCACCCCCAGCCACCCTTGTCTCTCCAGGCTGACACAGGGGTGGGTTTCAGGAGGAGATGGATTCTCTGCAGACAATCCTTAGGGCTTGCAGGGCAGCCCAGCATGCCCAGAGAAAGAGGACACCCCAAAGGTGACATTGCCAGGCTGAGCATTTCCCCCTAGGCCCAAAGCTGGGTGATTACATGAGAGATTTCCAGATGTTGCCAGTTACCTGGAACAAGCAGAGGAAGAAAATGGACCTGATGAAATGAATAAAAGCTCATGACTGTGGTTTCCCTCCCTTATGGGCTCCTATTTCCATTTTCCAGCCATTTCCAGGTCTGTCCACATTGCCTGTATTACACATGCACTCCTCCACAGTGCCAGCTCTGGCACAAACCTCGTTTCCTCTTCTAATTTACCACGATACTCCAAGCAGCCTACAAGTTTACCCCCAACAGATGTGCAGAGCAGCCCCGCTCTGCTCACCCTGCGGGGTGCAAAGCTCAGAGAACAACGGGTACTGAACACAGACCTGCCAAAGCCAAGAGCCCTGCAGGAGGAAGGAGCTGGTCCTGAGGGTCTCCAGGACGATGTGGTCTCGCAGGAACACCTCCAGGAGGGCACAGAGGGCTCCAGCAAGGATGGCCATGGCCAGCAGGGAGTGGAGGTGTTGATCCAGCGCGGCATCGCCGTAGTCACGGAAACTGAAGAGCAAACCTGCCAAGATCCACCCCATGTTAGCAAGGACACCCCGGGGTTTGTTCTTTAAAAAAAAAACCACCTGAAAACAGACAATGTTCTAGATTTTGCCACGATCTGCCTGGTGGGAAGAGCCAGACATCAACCAGGCTGCTGTCACCACCTTCACCCTGCACACACCGCGCAGCCCCAGCACTTGGGTCTGTTCTGCCCACCGAGGAGCCCCCATTCCTGCAGAGACCCCCATACCCCAGCCAGGGCTGTAGGGCTGCCAGGAGGAGCACAGGCCTGGGGACCTTGAGCTCAGAAGATGGTGGGGAGCTTTGCATCAGGATTTGTCCCTCTGTGCATCCAATCAAGGCGGGGGGACAACACCTTTTCGTGGCTCCGAGAGAGCTGCTTGTCACCAGGAGCAGCACATCCCTCCAGCATCCCCCGTGCCCCTGGGCCACCCAGCTGGCTGGAATCCTCCCTATGGCTGGGTTCACATTCTGGGAGGAGCAGGGAGGGGGTGACTTCAGCACCCAGGCAGTGCCATCACACCTGCACAAACCCTCCAGCTCTGCCTGCACGGGGCCCTGCTGGTCCCAGAACAGCCCAGGAGCTGTCACACCTCTGTCACACACCCCTGGTGCTCCCCTGCCCCGTGCCCTGCCCTGCCCAGGCACCAGGGCTGGCTCACCTTCGATGAGCAGAGCCAGGCACAGCGACAGCCGGTCCAGGCCGGGCGGCAGCTTGAGCCGGGACTGCGAGACCATGTCCATGACCCCCGAGAGCAGGAAGAACAGGTAGATGGTGCAGTAGTGCCAGTGGGTGAGCTCTGTCCAGCTGTGTGTCTCGGGGCTGTACAGCTTCAGGTGGGGACCGCTGGGGACAAACTGCTCCACCAGAATCCCTGGGGAGAGGGGGGAAAGGTCAGCCCTGTCCTTCCACCCAGGGGAGAGGACAAGGCTGCAGGAGAACTTCCCGTGCAGGGCTGAAGCCACAGTGGTGTTTGCCCAGAGAAGAACATCCCAGCGTGCCACCAGCACATCCCCCAGCCCTCCCACACCAGCTGCAGGTGTTCCCCATTATGGGGAAGTCATTACCCCCCAGTTTTATGGGACAAAGCAGCTGCAGCATCATTAGATATCGGGGCAGAAACCCATCATCATCATCTCTTACCTGCTAGAGCAAAGAGAGCTTTGACAGCCCCCTCGAAGATCTCTGCACGCTGGGTCCCGGAGCTTGGCTGGCCCTCAGCATCCCCTTTCCTCCTCAGGTACTTCAGGGGGTACCTCACGGACCACCAGAGCCCAAAGATGAGGAAGAAAGTGCCCCGCAGGGCACTGCCAACGAAACTCGTGGGCATCGGGCGCGTGGTGGGGACCTGCAGGGACAAACAAAGCCTGGGGGCTGGCCCAAGGGACGTGCTGGGCTGCTCCCTCACTCAGCACCCCCAGGGATCCACATCCCAGCAGAGAGGGTGCCCATGGCTCTGCCATCAGCTGTGAACAGGGAATCCCAGGGATGGGACATCACCAAACAAGGAACCCCAGGGATGGGACATCACCAAACAGGGAATCCCAGAGATGGGACATCACCAAACAGGGAATCCCAGGGATGGGGCATCACCAAACAGGGAATCTCAGAGATGGGACATCACCAAACAGGGAATCCCAGAGATGGGACATCACCAAACAGGGAATCCCAGGGATGGGACATCACCAAACAGGGAATCCCAGGGATGGGACATCACCAAACAGGGAATCCCAGGGATGGGACATCACCAAACAGGGAACCCCAGGGATGGGACATCACCGTGGGGGAGCTGCTGCTCTGCACCACCGTGGGCAGGTGTGTGTGAGTCTGTGGCTGCACACACAGCCATCAGGACTTGGTGCCACAGAACAGCGTGTAAAATAACACCCAAGAAAGTGCAACACCCAAGGAAACACAACAAAGCTTTTCCTAATAAAAAGCAACATAGTTATTATTTCCTCAGACCATAAACTCCCTCCAAAGGAGGCAATTACCAGGGTGTGAACCCAGCCCTGGATTCAGGAGTTCCAGCCAGCCAAGGCTTTGGCAGGAGGAAGCAACCCAGGAACCATTAGCATTTCCAAAAGGAGCCTCATGCATATTCCACGCAACCTTTGTTTGACACAAGGGAGGAGATTTCATCTCCAGGGGAAGAGATCCAAGACTGAAAGCCTTGACACTGAGTGGGATCAATGCCACTGAGCACCAGGGAGGATGGAGAGGAGCAAAGGTACAGCAAATTTATATCCTGTAAAATATTTAAGCCCATACCCAAATTCCTGGAAAAAAAAAAAATCCCAGTGCAGCAAGGGCAGAGGGAATAAATAATGATCTTAGAGCAGTAAACCTTTGATATTACCTTGGGATGGTCTTGTCCCTTCCAGCAACACCTCTCTCCTTGCTCCCTGTAAGCTTCCACCACCTAAGGAGGACTCCCTTTTCCCCTCCAAATGGTTTTCCGGTCCTTTTCTACCGCTGGGACGTGCATTACTCACCCCAAAGCTCCCCCACCGACCTGCCCTCGCCTCACAAATCACATCCTCACCGTGTTTATAAATACCAGAGCAAATTGCAGGGGCTGGATGAACAACTCCAGCACGTTCTCCGAGTCCTCCCACACTAGAAAGTAATGAGGCAACTGCAGAAGGAGGGGAGGATGTGGCAAGTGCCTGGGGGGAGGGAGAGCTCTGTGAGGTGGCCCTGGTCGGGTTTTGGCTGCAGAGCCCGGGTGGGTTGGACTGGCTCGGCCCTGAGTGGCACCCACGGATGTGGAAATCATCATCACCCACTGCATCTGTGGGACACAGACAGCCCAGGGAAGGCTCAGAGCTGTGTTAAGGTTTCCTCTCAGCAGGGAAGTTACTAAACAGCCTTTCAGGGAGGTGAGAAACGCCCTGTCCAGGAGCTGCTTTGAGGAGCAGGGATGGCTCCCTGCTCTATTTTGGGTGCCTGCATTAGGGTGAGGTGGCTCATGCCCCAGGAGAAGCCAGGTCTTTCCTGATTATAGCCTGGACACCCAGTCCAGGGCACTTATCTTGCCTGCACAGACATCTACATGCCAGAGTGACTAACAATAAATGGGATTAAAGCCCTTTTAGGCTGCACACAATTGCACGATAGAGAACCAAATTTTACCATTGTCCTACTTGTGACTGCCAGGGCAACAGCCTGGAGCTGGAGTCAGGAGGTTACCCCGATCCAGAGACACGTCAGGAACGTTAATGTGACGTGATTACCTGGAGGAGAGGAGAGCTGAGACCTCCCAGAGCCCAGAAATTACAAACAGTGTGTCCCCCCTGCAGCTCCAGGGGCTGCTCCAAAGTCACACCAGCATCCAGCATTAACCCAGGGATCCATCAGCCCACGTCCACCAACCATCCCCCCTCCACCTGAGGGACCAGCAGACCCAACCCACTGTTGCAGAGCCATCCCTGGGATCTCCTGCCCTGAGCATCCCTCTCCCCAGCAGAGCAGCCTCACTCTGCAGGGCCAGGGACCCTTTTGCTTTGAAACCTCCCAGCAGCTCAATCCAGCAAGGCTTTGGTAGCTGCCAGGAGCCCCCTTTGCCTCTGCAAACAGCACTTCAGCAGCCACCACACACCACAGAGTCACTGAATGGTTTGGGTTGGAAGTGATCTTAAAGCTCACATCACCCCACCCCTGCCATGGGCAGGGACACCTCCACTAGACCAGGTTGCTCCAAGCCCTGTCCAACACAGCTTTGGACACTTCCAGGGATCCTGGCATGTCCTGGGGCATCTCTCCCTTAGCAGGGATGTCCCAAACCCACCCTCAGTCAAGCAGCAGTGTGCATGTAACCCACTCAAAAAAAAAAACCAACAAAAATCCCACCTTCCTTTATAAAACAGCCACTGTTTTGCAGTGAAACCAGACAAGTTTCCAAGCAACAGTCCATTTGCACAGCTCACATCCTTGAAGCACAGGGAACATCCCCAGAGCCCCTCAAGCAGCCCCCTGAGCCCAGCCCTGACACCCCTCACCCCAGCACCGAGCCCAGGTTCACACACGAGCTGATTGAGCTCCGAGTGAGCAGAACTAGGGAAGAGCAGAGACCCGGGGTTATTTATTCCTCCTGTGAGCTGGTTTGCCTGTCAGAGCCCCTGAAATAGGGCTGCAGTCACAAGTTATTACCTGAGCTGCCCTTCTCCCCCCCCTGCTCCCAGGCTCTGCTGCTCTGCTTTAATGTCCATATGGGAGCTGCCTGCTCTGCTTAGGAAACCTCTCCTGACTGCTCCCAGCCTGTCCAGGTTCAGCTCAGGAGACACAGCATTCCTTCTTCCATCCCAACTTCCAGGCTCTCCCCTGGAGCCACTGCAGCTCCAGATCCACCACCATCCACGACTTTGACCCCCTTGCCCTGGCTGATGTGGGGGGATCCATGCTCAGAGGGTGACACCCCTGTGGATACACAAGCATTCCCTACAAGCACCCCTGGGTGCAACCATCAGCATCCCAGACAGCCAACTTGTAGGCACAGGGCAAGCCCAGCAGCTGGCCATGGATATTTTCTTACATGGATCCTCCTCCATCCTTGGACACTTCCAGGGATGGGGCAGCCACAGCTTCTCTGGGCAACCTGTGCCAGGGCCTGCCCACCCTCACAGACAACAATTCCTTCCCAACATCCCATCTAGCCCTGCCCTCTGGCAGTGGGAAGCCATTCCCTGCGTCTTGTCCCTTCAGATCCTTTTCCAAAGTCCCTCTCCAGCTCTCCTGGAGCCCCTTCAGGCACTGGAAGGGGTTCCAAGCTCCCCCTGGAGCCTTCTCTTCTTCTCCAGGCTGGACAACCCCCCTCCCCTGCCATGATGCACCTCCAAAACACAATAAGCCCCTAAAAAGGGGACAAACCCATATATTTCTGGCAGACTGCCTCCATCAGCATCACTTCCACCACCATCATCACCCTGAACTTTGGTCCCTGAGAGAGGGACTCTCCACACCTCCCATCTTCCTGAGCTCCAGCAGCCACAGCCATCCCATGGCAGGTGAAAGAGTTTACCTGGGACTCCTGCCTGTCCTCCTCCCTCTCCAGAGGTGTCAGCAAGGAGGTTATTACTGGGAAGAGGCAGATAAAGGGAGAAGCCAGCACGGGGAGGTGGCCCTCAGACAGGATGTTTGGAGCTGCACATCCTGCAGGCCAGTTCAAAGCAGGCTGAGTCAACTCCCTTTCCCAACCTGGGACACCTCCTGGCTGCTCTTAAAAAAAAAAAAAACAACCAGCAACTCTCCTGCAGTTTGCCACAGAAATCAGGGGGAGCAGAAAATTCTTGTTCCCATGGCAACCGTGTATATTCAGTTATTATGATGGGTTTGGGATGACTGGGAAAAGAGCCAGGAGAAGATAAGGCTGCAGCGTGGTCTGACAGGGCCAGGCCCTGCTGGAAGTCTCTGAACTGGGTTGCCAGGGACATGATAACCCTTTTAGGGGGTCCAACCATGTAAAAGTTGCCTGAGGGCAGGAGATTTTCAGCCAGGAGCTCCCAGACCAGAGCAGAGCCTTTGTGAGCTCCACTTCCCAGCCCACAGCAGCCAAGAAGAAGGGGACGACTTCTCTCTCTGCCCCCCCAGAACACAGCAAACTCTTTTACTCCTTTTTACCTCTCTAAAACTCAACACTGCCCCACACCAAGCACCCATACCCACAAACCACCTCTGTCCTGCCCATCCCATGCCAAGGGCTGCACAGAGGAGCAGAGCAAGGGCCTCAAGGCAAATAAACCCCACGGGCCACCCCAGCACCTCCATCTCCCTCCACAGCACTGAGCTCAGGGTGCAGGAACACTCAGCACTGCTCTGGAGCTCTGCTCTGGCTCTGGAGCCACTAAAAACCACTCCCAGCACATCCCCAACCCAGGATTTCTCCTGTGGAGCTGTGTGAGTGTTTCTCTTCCCATAAAACCAACCCAAACCCACCCCCAGCACGCCCGCAGGACGAGCATCACAGAAGCAAAGCAGCTGCACAACCCTCCCCAGGGTGATGGGCTGTGCTCCAGCACAGCCAGAAAAGCCACCAAGCCATAGCCAGGAGCTTTGATTCCCATTATCTCCATATCAGGTGGGAGGAAGGAAGGGAAAGCAAGAGGCTGGTGGTGGTGGTGCTGGCACACAACCACGCCGTACACCCGTCACTGCTCATCTGCAACGGTGCCTGAGGAGCAGGGTGTGTGACAGAGGGATGAACACACCTGGAGAAGGGTCCTGGGCCAGCAGGGAAGCCCAGAGCAGCAAAGTTTTACCCAAATTTAAGCTCCAGGAGCTTGTTATAACATTAAATCCCAGCACAGGGTGAAATACAACCCTCACAGGAGCTCCTTCTTACAGACCTACCCCTCAAAATAATAATAAAAAAAAAGACATACCTTTTGTGCTGGAAAAATAAACCAGGAGGACCATCAGGGACCTCTTTCAGCTCAGTTTTCCTTTCTGCAAGCACCCATCTCTACAAATCACCACCCCAAAGGGCAGCTTAGCACAAACCCCTTTCCCAGGCAATAGGAGTCAAGTCCTTGGGGAAAGTGGGGAAAGGTGAGCAGGGAGGGCAGCAGCTGGAGCGGGAGGGGAGGAAACAAGGCCCAGCTGAAAAGTATCTGCTCAGAGGATCAATGTGCCTTTTTCCGTGGAATTTGAAGGGCCAGCAAAGAGTAAAGCTCATAGAGAAAGTTTCTATGAAAAGGCAAACTTGGAATTACAGGCAGTGAAAGAAGTTTTTGGTGCATTAAATGGTTGAGGAAAGGGGGTTTCTACCCTTTTGAGCATCCCCAGGAGAAAAATGAGAGTGCAACTGTGAGATGTGGTTGTGAACAGCCCTGTGGGGAGAGACCTGGAGAAAGGATGGCAACCCCCCCCCCCAAAATCCCAGAGTCATTCACACACACCATGTGAGCTAAAATCACTGTGGGCACAAACAGATGCAATTCCAGCACATGCCTGTCCTCCTCTTCCTCCCAGGGAGAGACTGGGGGAGGCAGATCTGTGTCCCACACCCTCCAGCTTCTCTGATGTCCTCGAGCTAAACCCTGAACTGAATTTTTTTTGGTTTCATGTTTTTGTTTCCCTCTTTTCCTCCTTCTCTCTCAGCTGGAACTGCAACATCCTCTCCCCGAAGGTTCATCCCCGGCCTCGGTGCTAATGAAAAATGTGATAATGTTTGCCTCCTTCCCGGGGGTGGAGGGAGGCACAATCTAATTAAAGGTTTGCCAGCAGCTCGAGCGCTGCAGATGGATGGTTGTTTGGGAAGTGCGAAGGATTATTATTATTATTATTGTTATTATGACGAATGCTACCACCAGATTTCATAAACAGGCAGCAGGGGAGGTGAAGCAGGTGGTAAAAGCACAGGCAGGGCTTGTTGTGCTGCCCACACCTTGCTCTCAGCCCCACATTAGGGTGGTGAGCAGGGAGATCCCATCTCTGCCCCAGGAATGAGTGGCTCGTGGATGGACTGTGCCGGCCTCTTGATGAAGGGTTTGCCTTCCCAGCGGCAGGAAGAGCCAAGTGCAGGGAAATTTGGCTGCTCTGGGGCGTGTTGTCTGTGCTGCTTTTGTAAGGGAAGGGCAGGACTGGTGGGAGGATCAGCAGCTCCTTCCGGCCGTGGATGAGCAGATCACTTGAGTGACAAAATCCAGCATCGGTTACACAAGAGAGAAAACACCCCTGGGACAGCCCTCAGGACATCCTGCTCCTTGGACAGTCAGCTGGCTCTGGATACAAATCCATCCCCCCAGTGGGTCCAGTACAAACACACCATAATTCAATTTATAGAATCATAGAATTATTTAGGCTGGAAAAAAACTCCATCACCGAGTCCAACCTTCGAGTCCTGCTGAAAAAAAAATGACAACTGGTTGATATTAAAGTTGTGCTAAAAGCAATTCTCCCTGTAGGACTGCCCTAAAATATCTATAGGAAATAAATGGCTTATATTTGCATCTTTCTGTATAATAAACCATCTCCAGACCATTCACTCAGACACCTTCAAGCCTTTGGGGACCTAAACTATTTACAAACATGTTTTTTAGCTAAACTGAAAATCCTTAATTCTCACCCAGAAATGAACCCCAGTTGTAGTTTCCTCCCTTAATCACAGGATCTCTCCTCATTCACTGACCTTCATACCTCGGGAAAGAATGTGCTCCAGAGCTGGAAAACAAATTAGTGAGTGCTCTGCTGACAGTCCTGGGATGTTTGTAGGAGCAGGGAGTTAATGAGGCAGACAGAAACTATTCCAGACAGCGGGTGCTGCAGAGGGAAAAGGTGTTTTGTGGCCACACAGTGACAAGGGCCAAGGATTGAGAGCGGCAAGGAGAGCCGTGAAGAATTAAATTAACCCTCTCCCACTTCCAAAAGCGAGGAGTGCTATCAAAAAAACAAAGCCAGCTTTCATCTACGTGCCCTGGGATGGAAAAAAAAAAAACCTCTGGCTTTTGGAGGTGGGTGGCTGCAAGGTGACTGCAGCCAGCCTGGAGTGTGCTCCTGGTGCCACCTGCTCCTGCCCTCCTCTGGCTGTTCCATGGGAACGGCGATGCTTGGGCCGGTTCCTGGCAGACAATAATTTAGAGCAGGGCAGAAATAATTCAGGGAATCACACGGGGCCTTTTTGCTGGTCAATGAACCGACCTCTGTCCTGCAGCAACTCGGTTTGTCACCTCCCACCTGCCAGGAGGAGGTGGCGCCTGCAAAATGGGTTGTGTCTCACGGCAGCAGCAAGAGGAGTCCTTGAGGTTTAGGGAAGCTGTTCTGCTCTGGCAGAAAAAGGAACATCTGAAAAATGCTCCTCGTGTTCAGCAGTTACAGCTGAGGTTTTATTGTGGTGTTTATCAGGTGGATTTAGGGAGATGCAGCTCTGCTGCTTCACTCTCCTCACTCCCTGTCTGCACCTCCCATAATCCAGCCCTGCACAGTAAACTGGCCCAGCAGTGGGAATGCAGGAGAGCTGGCACTCCAGGATAGCTGCTCAGTCTTTGGAGTGAATAGCACTAAAGTCCAGGATGCAGCTCTGGAGCCTGCAACAGGCTCTTTTTGCACCTGGGGAAAGGGGGTTAAAAGGTGCCTTCCCTCGGAGTCGCCAGGAGCTGCTTTTCTGTGCAGCACAAAAATCAGCTGCCATCCATCCCCCTCATTTCACAGCAGGGAGAAAAGCTCAGTGCAGAGCATCCTTCCTGCCCTAGGCATTGAGATACAAACAGCTGCAACTCACCTTGTGCCATAAACATAAATATATATATATATTTATTAATATATTTATTGTATTTACTGGGTTTAATCCCCATACTCGCTACGGGCGTATTTTCCTCCTGAATAGGAGGTGACATTTCCAGTCACTTTTTTTGCAAGAAATTAGCTGGCAAAGGCAGCCTAAAAACAAACCCTGTGCCTGTTTCCTCTCCTTTCTGGGCTGAGGGGGTTTACTTTCAATGGAAAACTGGGACGTTCCATGGCTCCCTGCTGCTCAACCGTGTGTGTTACAGTCCTCCAGGCTTTGCAGGTCTGAGGCATGGATTTGTCTAAGCTATTATTACACACTCTATAATTTATCAGTCTTAAATTTAAGGATATCAGCTCAGTGAGGATTTTTTATTTCCCGTTTATTCACTCTCTCAGCCTTTAAGTGATCACGAAAACGATTAACAAAACCCCTCTTTAGTTCAAAGCTTCAGTGATAACATTCATATCGTGTACAGTCAAGCCCTGCTGGTGCAAAAATTGCCAAAACCTCACATTCCACGCTCTTTTCCTCGTCCTCCTCGGGGTGGTGCCTTGCTCCAGAGGTACCTGACCTCAGCCTGAAGGTTTCCTGGGCTTCAATCACAACAGGTCAAAGCCTCCAGGCTCTTGGAAAAGTCAGCTGGCCAAAGGATGCCCTCCATCCCTATGGAAACACACCTGGTAACCCGTGGGATGAAGCAGTCTTGTCATGTGGAATTTCCATGCCTCATTTTTGCTGTTGAAAATCACATCAAATGGTGCTCGGCCCCCAGCCAGCAATATCTGGGCTCCTGCCCCCAGGGGCTCAACCTGCTGCCCCACAGCACAACAGTGGCTCCTCTCACTCCTCCAAAACATAAATATTTCATTAGGATTCTTTTTTTCTTCCAGAAAACAGGTTGTTCATGTGTTTGCAGAAGGAGTTTGCAGCCTCTTCACTCCTCATCGGAGCCGCTCAGGAAGGTGGCCTGGGAGTTGGGGTCACCCTTCTGCTGCCGGACCCCCAGGCTGATGTAGGGCTCTCCACTGCATCTGCTGAACCTCTGGAGGCACCTGCAGCACAGGAGCAAGAAATCACTGATGGTAAAACCCCTAGACTGATGCCACTCACCAGAATTGTCACGTAGAGGTCCTGAAATGCTGTTGATGGGTTTTTATTCTGTGTAAAGTCTATTTGCTGCCTTAAACTGGACTATCCCTTCTGTAGCCCACACAACATCCCTTGAAGTGGGATAATGTCCCCTTCCCATCCCCTCAGAAGAGCCAGGCTGGGGGCTGGCACTGCTCAACCATCAGACAGTGCTCTCGGACCTCCCCTGACTCAGGGACCTCCTTGAGTCCTTGCAAGGGAGGGGACAAAATGTCAGGGGGACCTGGAAACGTTTGGGTTTCTCTATTGAATTAAAGTTTGACTTCAGCACTCAGTGCAGAAGGAGGAAATGTAGTGTGATTTACAGGAGCAGCTCTGGGGGCTCCATTATTTGACTTCTCACCGTTTAACGCCTGTGCCTCCCACTGACACTGTTTTGCATTCTGTGCACTCAACAGACACCCTGTGTGCTTTGTCACCCTGCCCTCAGACCTGCTGGAGTCTGGGGCTGCTTATTCAGCTGTGACTTTGTCCTCTGGGAAGGGCTGGAGTACATCTGTGTCCCACCCTCACCCCAGTCCTGCCCCAGCTCCTGCCCAGCCATACCAGCAAGTGAGGGTGTAGTTGATAGCCAGGATGGCCACAGCAGCTGCCCAGTGCCAGAAGAAGCACATGGTGAGGAACATGATGTTGTCATGGTTCTCCTCATCCCACATTGGACCCCCCCAGGGCTGGAAGAGCACGATTCCGATCTGGGTGGAACGAGAAATTTATTAACTTGGGGAAAAATCGTTAGAGAATCCCAGAATCCCAGGCTGGTTTGGGGTGGAAGGGACCTTAGAGACCATCTCATTCCACCCCCTGCCATGGGCAGGGACAACCTTACCCACCCTCCCAGTGAATCAGCTCAATCCCTGTGGTGACTGAGGGACTGAGGCAGTGAAGCCCAGCCCTGAGTGAGAGGCTGTGCCCCAGATCTTTTTCTGTACCATATCCGGACACAACCGTCCCTGGGCACTGCAAACTCTGAGCCACCCTTTAAAACCCCCACATTTGGTATTTTCCAAACTCAGCCCACTTTTTAACCTCTGAATAAAGGCTGGTTTGAGTTAGCTGGGGCTGAGAGAGAGGAGGGGAACTCAGATTATTTTCAGCAGCTTAGTTTTGGGAGCAATCATCTCCAATTGATTTCTTTGCTGCTCCAGCTTCTCCCAAAGCAAGCAGCTGGCTGTATCTTAACTCAGCCATTTTATTGCTGGGGGTGGGATGTTGCCTTTTCCCACTAAACCAGAGGGAGGGCTGCAGGGTGCATTAGACACATTAAGCAATTAGTACTCGGTTGTTAGATACTGTTGTTGCTCGCTGGCTTTCGCTCTTCCCCCCAGAGAAGCAATAAGCCAAGACTAACAGCTCCTCCAGCAGGAGCAGCCAGCAGAGATGACCTGTGAGAAGTTAAATCCTCAGTCTGGGTTATGAGCTATTTACGAAGCCAGCCTGGCACGATGATCCTCGGGAGATGTGTGATTGGTGTGTGATGCACAGCTCCTTCCCCTCTGTCCCCACTGCCCCCTCTGAGCAGGCACGACTGACCTGCCAGAACCACGTTCCCTGGACGATGGTGATGCCAGCTCTGAACATCTCCAGGACGATGTTGTCCCTGAGGAAGACCTCCAGCAGGATGCTGGCGGCCCCAGCAAAGATGGTGATGAGCAGCAGGGAGTGGATGTGCTGATCCAGCGCGGGCCGGTGGAGGACGTGGTAATAGAAGAGAAAACCTGCCAAGACACGTGCCCTGCTTAGAGCAACAGCAACAACACCAACTGTGCCCACAGGGCACAGCAAAGCACCTGCCTGGGTGGCAGACTGAGACAGGTCACCAGGTAAAGAAGGGACTCCAAGTGGCACCATCCCCCTGGGTCTCCTGGCATCCCACCATCCTGGAGGGATGAGGTGCCCAGCCTTGGGATAGGAGGATCTGAGCAATAGAGGATCCAAAGACAGGCTGGTTTTCTTCCCCCATCAGTGATATCACCTCTCCCCTTATAACCAGCTTTCTGCTCTGTCCTTCTTTCCTATTGCTAAACTCCACCATTTTTTGGGAGCTGTAAATGGTAAATTTCTTGTTATTCCTGTGCCTGTTGAGGTGCCCCTGCTGCTGTCTCAAAAACTGCTGCAGTCATGAAGGGGAAAACAAGAGGAGATGTGCAGCTTCTGTAGAAGCAAGACCCTCTTTTCCCATGGTGGGGGCTGGAACTAGATGATCTTTAATGTCCCTTCCAACCCAAGACTTCCTACGATTCTGTGATCCAAGAGGGCTCTGGAATCCTGGCTGGTGACTTGCAAGACAGCCAGAAGACAGAACGATATTCATGATGTATTGAAGCCAGAATAAGTCACTTTAATTTGCCACGTGCCCTGCAAGCAGATGAGGCTGACGGTGCCTGCAGAGCAATCCGTGGCTCTCGAGGGGAGCCCAGGGCAGGGGAACAGCTCTGAGCACAGCAGATGATGCAGCAGCCACCAGCCACTCATCCTGAGGGAGCTCATCCTGCTCCTCCACTCCACGGTCTCCCCAGAAATCCCAAACCAGCACCTACTGGTGCCTGTATTTCCCATCTCATTCCAGACTGCCCTGCAATAATATATCACCTACAATGTGCAGGATCTCCAGAGGCATCCCAAGCAATACTCCAGTCAGGCAAGGCAAATTTTAGTCCTTCTCTGACTCGGTCTCGCTTGGTGTGTTCAGCTGGAGCAGAGGAGACTGAGGGGAGACCTCCCTGCAGTCACAACTGCCTGGGCAGGGGCAGAGGAGGGGCAGGACTGAGCTCTGCTCTGGGGGGACCAGGGACAGCCCCCAGGGAATGGCTGGAGCTGTGTCAGGGCAGGCTCAGGGTGGATCTCAGGGAAAGGTTCTTCCCCCAGAGGGTGGTTGGCACTGAACAGGCTCCCCAGGGCAGTGGGCACAGCCCCAAGGCTGCCAGAGCTGCAGGAGGGTTTGGATGATCCTCTGGGGCACAGGGGGTGACTCTTGGGGCTGGGCCTGTGCAGGGCTGAGGGTTGGACTGGATGATCCTTGTGGGTCCCTCCCAGCTCAGCATGTTTTGTGATTCTGTCATCCCTCCCCGACATTAAGCACCGCCTTCTCCCACCAACCTTCGACAAACACGGCCACGGACAGCATGAGGCGATCCAGGCCCCTTGGCACGGCCTGGGAGACGAAGGTGAGGACGTCCACCACGCCGGAGATGCCGTAGAACAGGTACATGGTGGTGTGCTGCCAGTTCATCAGCTTCACCCAGTCCCGGCCGGCCCCGCTGTACAGGTACAGGTGCGGCCCGTCCGGCACGAACTGCTCTGCCAGCATCCCTGCGGGGACACACGGGGATCCTGGGGAACGCTGCCTCGTGCCTCCAGCGCTGCTGGAGCAGCAGCTCCAGGCTTGCAGCAGGGAGAAAAGACCGCAGGAAAAGCTCAGGATTGTTAACACGAGCTCAGCTCTGGGAAGGGGGACGAGACTCGGCCTTTTCGCCTCAAACTCTACCAGAGATTCGGGCCACGCGAGCGTTCAAGGGTGCAGCCCCCAGGGAAGGAGTGGAATCACCATCCTTGGAAGCGTTCAAGCACATGTAGGTGTGGTGCTCAGGCTCATGGTTTAGTGGTGGACCTGGCTGATGGTTGGACTTGAGGACCTCAGAGGTCTTTTCCAACCTTAAGGATTCTCTGGTCCTTCCACATCTGGGCCGGTCTGTCTGGAGTCAGGGCTCCAGTGCAGCCACCACTGCAGGCTGGGAATTTACCCACGTGGCAAGTGAAAAGTTAAGCCTTACCTATGAGAGCAAAGACAATTTTCATTCCCCCTTCCACGGCATCCACGCGCTGGAAACTGGAACTCCTGGGGGATTTCTTGTTGGCTCCCTGGCTGAGGTACCTCAGAGGGTATTTCACCGACCACCAGAGCCCAAAGAGCAGGAAGAAGCTGCCTGGGAGTGCGTGACCCTTGAAATTCGCCATCCTGACAGCCTCCTCTGGCTGCAAGGCAAAGAAAAATGGTGAAATTATTCAACTTACAGCAGTTCTTTGGCACGACACCGGGAAAAATTGGATTTACCTTGCACGGAGGCCTGGAAAAGGCTTGACCAGGCACATAGGAATGGGGAAGGAGAACTGGAAAACCCTCCAAGGGTGAGAGGTGGGAACAAACAGGGCCTCTCTGAGGCCCTTGCCCCAAGATAAGAAAATGTCCAGGAAAGCCAGACTAGCTCAGCAAAAGCCCTAAACCTGCTGCAATCTCTGACACATCCCAGCCTGTACCTTGCATTCCTCAGATCCCTCCCAGCAGCAGCTCCTGCTTTTCCTGCTCTTCTGCAAGGATGAGCAGACTAGGGAAGGGGGCTTTTGGGGACCAGGTAGGAGAGATAACACACAGGGAAAGCAGTGATGTCTAGGGGTAAACACCAGTGAGTTTCTTTAGCTCCTTGAACAGCCACAGAAGTCCAAAATGTTTTAAAATTCCTGAAATCATTTCAGCCCATAGAGGGGGGAAAATACACTCTGTGTTTACTCCACAAACCAAAGCATATTGTTAAAAATGGAGCTTCCCAAAAGCTGCTGCAAACAAAACACCGTGAGCCTGGGCTAAACCACCCAACTCACTGCCTGCATCCCGACCTCCTCACACTCCTCCTTCCCTCCCCAGGGCATCCCCAAGCCAGGATTTGCAGGGAGGATCCCAGCCAGGCTGCCCTCCCCCAGTCTGTAGGGAGCCAGGAGACCCATTTCCTGGGAGAATTACACCAATTAAGCCCGGCTGGCTCCTGTTTGCCATTTGCTGGTTTGCTTAATTAGGTGGAGAAGTGATTAGTTCTTTCCTGTGGGCTCCAGCATATGTCCAGGGGGTGTGAGGGGGTGTCAGGCTGGGCAATGAGGGTGGTTTGAATTGATAACAAAGGTTGTGCTGCCAGCACCAGGACTTCCTTCTCCACTCAGGGAGTGCTTAACACTGGGTGGGAGCCATCCCCCTCGTGGGGTGGATGCTTTGGAGCTGGACCTGAGCTCCCCAGCCCAGGCACCCACATCCTGATCCTCCTGAAACCACCAGTGGCATTTTGGGCTTCAGTCTCCACTCCCTGGAAATATAAACCAAAAGTGCTCTTCTGCTGTTGCACAAAGATAATTTGGTTTGACTACTGCTCACTGCTGTCAGCCTTGCAGAGGGAGAGCGGTTCCTTGGCCTTTATTAATGTCTGATTTCAGCCAGTTTGTCCCTTGTTTCATCCCCTGAAGTCCGTGGCTGGTGCAGGAACCATCTCCCACAGGTGCCTGTCCCCAGGCAGGAAAATCCACTGGGTTAGCCCCGACCTCCTAAAGCCCTGGAGCCAACCTGCCTGATCTGAGCTGGTTTGACCAACCAGCTAATCCAGCACCTGCTGGTGAGCAAACACTGGCTCCTTGTGCAAACACCAGCCCAGTGTGTGCAGCTACACACGGCAGTGACGGGGCTGATGCCCTTGTGGTCACACCAGGCTGGTCCCACAGTCCTGCCCTCACCAAACACCTCCGAGCTGCCTGTGGATCCAGGAAAATTAATTTAGGAGGGGACTTTCTAAGCTGTGCATGGAAATGGTGTTTTCTCCTGCACTCACTGGCAGCTCAGCAGGTTGCTGTGAGCAGCACTGCAAAGGCTCTGCCTTATTTTGTGACTTAAAAGGAGAGATGTATTGACAGTGGGTGCGTTGGGTAATTAAACAGAAAATCAAAGCAGTGCTGGCACGGTCCAGTGGGTTAATACAATCAAATACAGACAACCAGGGAATGGGAGCATCCACCTGCATCCCTGTGGTTAAGGGAGCAGCAATCCCAAGCCAAGGAGAGGGCTGGAAAATCTGTATTTTCTGGGGGGGCAGAGAGTCCCATCATGTACCTGGCTTTAAACTGAAAGAGGGGAAAGTTAGATCAGAAACAAGGAAGAATGGTACAAAATCAAGGTAATGACTGGAACCAGAACTAAACCCACCCCAAAACACCACAACAAGAAGTACTGCAGCCATATTAAGCCATGTTAATGGCACAATTACAAAAGGACCACAGCAATGTGTAGTCAAACATAACTCTAGGATGTATCTCCAGCAGTTACACATTAAAGGCAGATACACAGTGAGACCTTCTTTGATGGAGGATGTTTCTTTGGCCACAGCAGCTCAGCTGCTGTCAGTCTGTAGGGTTGTGTTTGATGGGCTCCTGCAGCTGCAGATTGGCATGAGGGGAGACCCAAACCCTCTCTGGAAGGCTGCAAACAGCTCCAGGTACGCAGGTCAGTGTCTTCCCACCTCTCATGTCTTCGTGAGGGACACATCTCAGGGTTTCCCTCCGGAGATCAGCTCAGTCAAACGGGGTTGACCTGAAGGATGCCCTCATTAACCCTAATTAAAGATCAGTTAGATGGAGTGTGCGTGTCCACCTCACAGTGTGTGCTCTCGGTGGGGCGGTGGGGGCTGTTTTGGGGTTGCTGGGGTCCATTCCTGCCTGATCCCCCACTAGCAGGGATCAGGTGGTTCAGGTGGGACGTGTGACCAGCAAAACTCTTTCTCCTGCTTCTCTTTCTCCTCCGAAAACACGCAGTAGGTAAGCACAGGAGAAAAAACAGCAGCAATTATGTTCGTGCCCCGGGGCACAAACAGCCCTTGTTATCCCTACAGCTCCTGAGGACATGAGAGTTGCCTGCAAGCAGCAGGGAAAAGAACAAGCTGGAGGTCCAGTGGGTGCTGGACAGCAGCCACCTTGCCCAGGACATCCCTGCTGAGTGTGACTTTGCCCCTTCCCTCATCCCCCGTCCCCGTGTCCGGTGACAGCCCCGTGTCCCGCTGGCCCGTCATTGGTGCACTTTACCCCTGTTTATTACGATGCCCTGCGCTGCATCAGCTTAATGATTTACTGCTGCATCTGCTCTTATCAGCTCCCCGGGGAGCTGGTTCCTCCTTGGTTCACAGCTAATGCACCAACCCCCCGGGGAGGCGGCCGGGAGGATGGTGAGGAGCCCGCTGAGACTCCCCCCTCCTCCTCTCGCAGCCACAAAACCTCCTGTGAGCCCAAGCCCGGGCCACTTTACTTTTCCCAGTGTCTCGTTTGCTTTACTGAGGTTTTTGGTTGGGTTTTTTTAAAGGTTTTATTAGTGCATTGATAGTGTCTCAGTCAGGGCATCTCTTCCATTTCCCCAGCTTGGAATTGCAGTCTGAAGTTCACCAGTGGAAACAGCTCGCAGCCATCACCACTGCAATTAACTCTGCCCTTCAGCCTCTGTAAATCAGGCAGTTCAGACACACCAGAGCTGGTCTGCTTGCTGTGGGACCTGCACTTGGCTCTGGGAGCAGCTGTGGGTGACAGAGATGGTCCCCAGGGAAAAGCTGACTCAGGGAAGAAGAGAAATGTCCTGGCTTGTGAAAAAAAAAAAACCAAAAACAACCCATGCTGAGCTGGGGAATGCCACTGAGATGTGGATCTGGAAACATCAAAGCCATTTCCAGAGGGGGTTCGGGTCTCCCCTCATGCCAATCTGCAGCTGCAGGAGCACAGCAAACCCAGCCCTTCACACTGGCAGCAGCTGAGGTGCTGTGGCCAAAAAACCCATCCTCCTTCAGGCTGGTTGTCCTGAATGTTCTCTGTGCATATCCCTGGATACAACACAACCCACAGCCCAAATGCTGCACCTGGGAGGGAAGGCAGTGCTCCAGACACAGAGGTGAGAGATCTGTGCCTCTGAGGACACAAAGATGACACCCAAGAGATGTCAGGAGAGGCATCACCAGCAAAGCTGCCCTGTATCCTGCACTGCCTCACTCCATTGCCAGCACTGTCTTATTTGTCTGCAGAGACATTTCTAATCATAGCAGCACTTCCATCAGCTCCCTCAGGAGCTGGATCCCTAATGCATTAATGTCATTTTGAGCCATTTCATCCCATTATGGTCAGGTTTTCTCCTCTTCACCTCACCCTCGCCGGGGACACTGAGCAATCATGTTCCTCATCCTGGCCAGCCCAGACCTGTCTGCAAAGCCAGGAAAGCAACTTCTCTGCCTCTAAAGGATCCTTAAGGGTTTTGGATTTAAGTTAAAAAATTATCATCATCATCATTATTGGAAACTATTAGGCTCAATTGTCAGGGAGTATCTGAAGGACCATCAGGTGCTGCAGGAGCTTGTGCAGTGACTGCAGAGAGCCAGAGAAAACAGACTGAGGCAATCCATCCCACTGAAATGGGGAAATTCAACGGGGAAGCTCAAACTGAGATGAAAGCTTTAAATTCAGGATGCTGGACCTGAGGTCTGTTTAATAGACACACCTGAAAAGAGTCACTGGGGGAGAGAGACAAGTGAAAAGTGGTGATGGAGAGATTATATTGCTCCCTGCCTGCTCTTCTTTCTGCTGCTTTTCTTTGTCTCCTGTTTTATAAGCCTCTGTTTCAGATTCTCCATCCCAAACCCTGCTCCAAGCCGTGCAGGAAGCAGCTCCAAGTTACAGCCCAGCAGAGAGAGCTGAGAAATAAAACAAATTAGCCAAAGCCATCTTAATTTCAGGGGCTCAGAGCAGGTGCTTCATCATCCTTTTCCTTCTCTTTACGACCTGCACTTGTTTGTTTGGGTTTTTATGGCTCTGAGGTCTGACTTTAAAAATGATCTGTTTGGGGAAATGCAGGCTACCATCCTAAAAGCCATTTTTCTTCACCTCTGCATGATGCTTAAGTGATTAAAGTGCTATCTAAAGGGGGTGGGTGCCATCTGTGCCCCAAACTGCCCCCGTGACTCCGAGATGTGCCATGATGGACTAGCCCTGACTCCAATAATCCCTATCACCTCATGGATACCAACCCAAAAATAAACTCAAAGCCACAGTTACCACCACCAAAAATGCCACAAAAACCAGTATTTATAGAATCCTAGAGTTTCAGAATGGTTTTTGTTGGGAGGGTCCTTAAAGCTCATCCAGTTCCACCCCCTGCCATGGGCAGGGACACCTCCTGCAAGACACTTTCCCCTGGGTTGCTCCAAGCCCTGTCCAACCTGGAATACTCCCAGGTGTGGGGTATCCACAGATTCTCTGGACTCCACAGCTTCTCTGGGCATTTTCCAAAGAGGATAAAATTGCTTGTCCTAAGATTATCCCAACTGCCCCAGAATGTGACACAGGCTAAGAGCTGTAGGTCTTTGACATCCCTCAAGGAAAACAACTAAAGAAACCATTTCCATTGCAATATATCCCCAAAATATCCAATTATTCACCCCCAACACATAACCTCCTCAGCCTCCTGAGCGCCACAGCTGCCCCCTAGAGAGGTGTGGGCCCCCAACATGCCCCACCACCAGCACCCTGTGCCTCAATAATCACACCCTGAGCTGCCAGAGCCAGGAGTTGTTAGTTTTTTAATGATAATCCAGTAGGAAGAAGGAAGAAACCCTTCCCCTGCAGCAAAAATGTCCCTGTCCATGGCAGAGGGGTTGGAACAAAATGAGTTTTAAGGTCCCTTCCAAGCCAAGCCATGCTGGGATCCTACGATTCTAACCCGCACGCTTTTTTGGGGGGCATCAAAAGCGACTTTCCTGGGCAATCCTGCGGGGAGAGGAGGGTGGGGAGGGACTTTCTGGTTCAGCGCCCGCGGGGGCGATTTGGGCTGAGCTGCGAGGCAGAGTTTCTGCGCTGAATTTGGCAGGGAGGGGAGCGGGGACCCGGCGAGGGCTCCTGGCGGGCAGGGCTGGGTGGGATCGGGGAGGTCTCGTTTCCCCTCCGGCTGCCCCGCTCTCACCTTTCCCTGCTTTCAGCCCAGCACACCGCGTTTATTCTTCGACTTCCTCCTTGCAAAACGCTGCTGCGGGTTTGCCGGGGCTGTCCCATCGCCCGCAGCCCGGCAGGGACAGCAGGGACCCTCCCGTGTCCCCGCAGGGTGCTGGGACACCCGGCGGGTCGGGCTCTGCCCCCCCTGCCCCCTCCCCGGCAATTCGCTCTCCCAAGGGCGGCGGGTCCAGGTTTACCCACCCTGAGCCCTCTGCTTGCTCCCCGAGGGGTTTGGATCCCAACAGAGGGGTCCCCTAAGGGGCAGGCGGGGGGTGACCCCCCATGCCACCCCCCCGAGCCCCCCGCCCGTGCCAGCCCAGGGCAGCAGAGCCTTACCTGCCGCGTCGATGCCGCTGCCACACCTGCTCCCAGGTGACCCGTGCTCCTCCCCTGCCCCACCCTGCCAGCCCTGGGTGCCCACAGCCTCCCCAAAACCCCAGCCAGCAGGGAGAAGTGGCCCTGGATGCCGAAATCCCCCATCAGGAACTGTAATTTTGCGGTTTCTCGCCCCAAAACTCTTCTGTGAGTTCCTGACTTCAAGGCTTTCCCCCCTCCAGGAAATCTTTATTTTCTCACATTTCATGCAATGGTGAAATTTCCTTCTCTCTGCCCCCGCCCCGTCACCCACCCCATGCAGGGCCAGGGGAGCTGCCTGGGGTATTACCCCACACCCCAGGCCCCTGCATTCCTCACCCCAAAACACTGCATTAATTATTAACTGGATTAATTCCTCCAAAGTACTTCATTTTCCGTGCTTCCCAGGTCTGATGGATGCTCCTCCTGGGATCCCCACTCAGAACCCATATTTCAATCCAAATGCAATTTTCTGACCAGGCCTCCTATAAAACTGAGTTTATCCTTAATAATACTTTCCACTTTCATCTCCAGCCCTGCAAGTGCTTTACAAATGTTAAATAATTAACCCCCACGACACCCCTGGGAGAGAGGGAAGCATTATTATGGCTATTTGTAAGGGAAGCTCTGACAGGGCCTTCTGTGCTCCAACCCTGGGTTTTACACACTTTTAGGGAGCAGCTCAGCTACTTACAGCCCTGAGAGCAACTACACCTGCCACAGGGAATTTGCAGCAAGAAAGCTGGATTTAAATGTTTTAAATATTTTAAATATAAATACCACCCTGTTTTATAAACGACTTGAGGGTTAGAAGTGCTGTCTGGCAATCCCCTGTCTTTTCCTTATGTTATTATATTATTATTTTGATTTATTAGCATCAAATCTGTTCCCTCTCTCTGTCCCACAATACTGTTTGAAAGGTAAATCTTTAAATAATAAATAATAATCCATTAATCCACCTTTTCTCATCTCTCAGAGAGGTGGGTGCTGCTGGAAGGGAAGAAGCATCCCACTGTCATCCTCTCTTTTATCAGTGGTGGGGTTGGATGCCCAAACCCTGTGTGTTTTGGGTTTTTTTGGAGGTGAGATGATTCAAATGTTCCAGAGGCAAAAGCCAAGCTGCAGGTATTTCTTATCTCTCCATGAAACTGTTTCATGAACATCCCAGGAGGTGCTGACATTTTAACCCGTGTCCCACAAGCCCTGGAATAAATCAGAATTAATCAAGGGGTTTACACTCACCTCACACAGGAGGATTTAACCCCAAAAAACCAACAATCTTAAGTTGTGAGTGATGAAGTCTCTGGAGCTGATATGGAAGAAAGGCTGAGTGTGGTTAAAAACTCAACCTTTACTTAAACCCGACCCTAAAATGGGAGCTTGTTCCTCCCCCGTGCTCTGCCGAGTCATGTTGGTGTTTCTCGCCTACCAGGAAATTTGCACCTTCAAATATTTGCAGAACCAAATCACGGGGTGTGTAGGGGGTGGATCTTACTATAAGGAAACAAATAACCTCTCTGTGTGCATTTAGTGTAGTAAAGACCAGCCCTGAGCTGGGATTAAGTGGAACCTCAGCAGAATGTCTCACTTCCACATGGCCCTGATAAGACAAACCTAATATCATCTCTGATTTCTCACGTCCACATGGTCCTGATAAGACAAACCTGATGTCATCTCTAATTTATAGTTGTATCATCCTAGAGCTCAGCCACCCTTCAAACAGTTCCTTAAACAGCCTTGAAATCACAAGTAAAGGCTTTGAATTCATCAAACCTGTGTCCAGTTTGGGAGATGAGTCACCACTGGAATTCTGGTCAGCACAGCACAACCAGCCTAAAAAACCCAGGGATCAATTCCTAATTAGCACCATTTCTAAATCTTAATGCCTTCCTATGAAATCAACCCAGAAAAAAAATCACAATTCCTATTCTAGGAAATTTTGAAGCCTCCACAAGCTGTTTTGTGTCCTGCTCATCTCTAATTTTCCACCTCCTGATATCTATTTTCTCCCTGCTTACCCCACGCAGAACTGCAGCTCCTAAACACATCCATAGGAGCTCTGGCAGCAAACAACAGCCCGACAGTCTCTTCACACTGACATGCAAATCTGCAGGGAATCACCAAGAAAACAGGGATGTGCTGCTCTGGGAATCATCTCGGGATGCCCTCTGGGAAGATGAGGTGGCACCTGCAGTCTCCACGGGTGCAGTGTGTGATACAGGCAGGGGGAAGAGCAGGGCTCAGAAAGAGCTCAGAAATAATTGCTCGGAGAAATGGGGGAAAGGATGGAGTGTAAGAGCCAGGAAATTGCTTCCCTCATGTTCCTGTGCTGGCAGAGGGGACGGGTGGCAGAGTCACCTGCCACGTGGACACACATCCAGAGGGATGAGTGCACGGGCTACCTGCAATCTCCAGAGGCAGGAAAATGGGAAAGCAGGCTGGAACACTGGCCAGGCACAGATGTTTACCTGCTCCCTCACTGGGATGTCCATGTGTTCTCCAACTGAGATAATGACACCTTGTGCTCCTCCCCCTCCTCCTGCACCCACGAAACCTTCCCCAAGGAGCAGGTGCTGTGGGATGCAGCACCCACTGCAGGCAACGGATCTGCAGGAAAATGGGTTTGTGTCTACATCCTCCCGTTCCTAAGTGAGCCACCTCCTGGTGGAAGCTCCCTCAGCCTTCCTGGTAGCCGGGGCAGGATCCCTTCGGAGCATCCTCCCATCTCAGGGCTGTTTGTCACCCGAGCGCTCACTCCTCGCGTGCAACCCAGATCTCCAGTGATGCTGAAGTGCCTCGGAGCAGGGGAAGGGGCAGAGACCTGCAGCTGCTCAAAGGCACCACCACCTAAATTTATCCCTCTCCATGGGCAGCTTTATTCCCCACACGCTGTGAGATAGAATATCTGTGGGTGGGATATTTATCGACCTCCAGCAATGGAAATGCAGCCCCGGGGAGGTACAAACTGGGAAAAACCGAAGTGGATGGCAAGGGACCCTTCAAACTCTGCCCAAAACGTGACCTAATTCTTGCAAACACCCTGTTCTCTCACAGAGGTGTCCAGGAAGGAGTTTGCCAGATGGCAAAAGGAGGAGGTGAATAAATCTGACGCGGCACATCTGCAGCTGCGGGGAGCTCACGGCATCCGTGCACAGCCAGGCTGGAAAGGGATGGCTCTGGGGCTCAGCTTGGCAGGAAAGCAGACATAAGCAAAGGGAAACCCCAAAGGCTTCTGTTACACCCCCCCATGAACAGATCTGAGACCCCAGCTGGGTAAGAACAGGCAAGAATGAAATGAAAGCAGAGAGAGCTCAGCCACGATGTGATTCCAACTGCATCAGTCACCAGCTGGATGGTAGGGCTGGAGCGTGCCTGGACATGGCAAAAACATTAATAAGGCACAGAAGATCATTAAAAGGAAAATTATATATCCAGAGAACAGTAATGGAAAGGAAGGAGAAGACAGAGGGTGAGGAAATAGTGACAAACAGAGAGGGAGAGATGGTGAGGGATAAAAGTGACAGCAACAGCACCCAAAAGAGGGCAAAACTCCATGAGAAATTTTAACAGGGTGAAAGAAACAACCCACAGCTGAAGTGGAGTTAAAAAAAAAAAAAAAAGGGCAAGAAGGCAATGAAATGCTTCCCGAAACCACCTCACACGGAGAGTGAGCCATCTGGGAGAGGTGCAGGGAGCTGGGCAGCCCTTAGGGCTGTGCCGGCGATATCGTCCCCGGGAGCCAGGCAAAATTAAATCTTCTCATCGTGGGATTTGGGGATTTCCCCCCTCCTGCCAGCTGCCGTTCCGCAGCGATGGAGCAAGTGCACATCGCAGCGGCGGAGGGAGGAATGTCACCTCCCCGGCAGGGCTCGGCCCCGCTGTCCCTACCCGCGTCACCAAACAGAACAAGAGGCGTTTCGTTCGTCATCAACACCTGCAGTGGAAGAAACGTCTCTGAGTGACTGGGAGGTTACTGGGGACACAAAGCTGGGAGGGCTCAGCAGGGTCAGATTCAGTGGGTAGTTTTACCTGAAAAGAGGGAAAATCAGTTCAGTCACCTTGACATATTAATACTGAACCCTTTGCTTTTGAAATTAGTTTTGGGAAGTGTCATTAATGTTGATATTTAATTTGCTTCCTCCCCATATTCATCATCTTTACAATCTTCCCCCCTGTTCCCTTCCCCACCACTCCCACTCCAGCCTCTCATTCCCAAGCAAACATTTACAATTTCTGCTAATTTTACTTTATTTTTCTGTCCTAAAAGTTGCATTTCATCAAAACCCATACCTGGGACCAGGGGAGAAGAGCGAATCCAACCCCTGTTGTTTTCTGACCTTTAGCAATGGAAACAGAACCCCAGCGTGCTACAAACCACGCTCTGCAGAGGAGACCTTGGATCGGGAAGGATTCCAGCCTGCCCTGCAAATCCATGCCCACGGAGGAAGGATGTTTTGGGATTTGAGACCCGGGGGTTTGGGGAGCAGCTGAGAGGTTGTACTGGGGATTTGTGCTGTTAAATGGGAGAAGAGAGGTGGTGATCGGGGGGTAGGGGGTTCCTCGTGGAGGCAGGGATGTGGGATGTGGGATGAGGGATGTGGGATGATGATGCTGCCCCAGCCTCTGGGACCAGCAGCCGTCCCACGGCGCGACCAGACGAGCCTCGCGTGTGCAGGATTGAACCCCGGGAATGTTCGGGAACACTAGGGGGTGCTGAGGGCCCGCAGAAAGGATCCTGCCACCACCGAGGGATGCTCAGGGGTGCGAGGGGGCGGGTCTGGGAAGCGAGGGTTGCATCCCCATTTTGGGGTTGGGGGGAGCCCAGTCCCAACCAGTCCCACAGTGCCTGTGAGAAGCTCCTGGAGTCACTTGGCCACAGCCCTCCCTCTCCAAAGGCGCTTGGCCGCAGCTGGGCTGCCACACTGATTTTAGGAAGAGCAGCTCTATCCCTGTGCCTTCCCCTCCTTTCCTGGGGTCATCCCGGACATCGCATCCCTGTTTTACCACCGGGGAAACTGAGGCACGAGGCAAGGCCTTACCCAGGGCACTTCCCCACCCTAACCACTGTCCCAAACCCCACTGGCAGCACCTGTTTCCCTGCTCAGGGACTTTTGGGGGGCCCTGAGACAAACGCCGAGGGATTCAAACCACCCTTAGAAAACTGAGGATGGCAGCGAAGCGCTTGTTCTCGGCCACCTCTGGCGCTGCAGCTTTCACACGCACGGCTGAGTTTTCCAGCAACCTGTGAGAAATGAGGGGGCTGCTAATTAGGGTGAAAGCCCCTCTTCCCCAGCCCCCCGTGCCCACCACCCCCTTTCCTCCTCCCCCCCTTGCGGGCTCCGGTTACGCGGCGGGTCCATAAACAGCGTCTAAAATAATTGTGCAGTTGTCACCGCCGGGCAGGGAAGAGGGAGGGCCGGGGGGGACTATTTTAAAACGCCCGGCTTAGCCCGAAGGGCCGAGGGGATTGTGGCACAGCCCAGCTGTCCCCGCAGAGCCGGGCGGGGGCTTCAAAGTGCCGGGCGGGGATGTGGCAGCGCCAGCCTGTCCTGGGACGGGGAGGGGGAGCCGGACTGGCCGGGAACAGCTAATGGTGTTTTGATGTGATGCTTCAAGAGCAATTGCCGGGGCTCGGGAGATGTGAGGAGCAGCTGGGAGAAACCTGGGGGTGATGGAAGGAGGACGGGTGGGAGGGAAGGAGGGAGGGAGGAATAAGAGGGAGGTTGGGAAGCTGGTGCAGGTGTGGGGAGGTTGTACATCCCTTTTCTCTTCAGAATTTTGGGGAAAAAACTCCAAAGCAGGGGAGTTCAAAATGCAAAGAGTAAGTTTAGATGGGATATTGGGAAGAAATCCTTCCCTGTGAGGGTGGGGAGGCCCTGGCACAGGTTGCCCAGAGCAGCTGTGGCTGCCCCAGCCCTGGAAGTGTCCCAGGCCAGGTTGGATGGGGCTTGGAGCAACCTGAGCTGGTGGAAGGTGTCCCTGCCCATGGCAGGGGGTGGAATGTCCACTGGGGGCTGAATCATAGAATCCCAGACTGGTCTGGGTTAGAAGGGGCCCTAAAGATCATCTGATTCTGGTCCCCTGCTCTGGGAAGGGGCACCTTCCACTAGACCAGGTTGTTCCAATCCCTGTCCAACCTTGCCATCAACTATTTACAGTCTCATCTAAAGACCATCAAGGTCTTTCCCACATGTCCTGTACTCCAGACATATCTAAATAGCTGTGCTGTGTCATTTAGGAACTACATGAAGCCGTGTGAGGAGCAGCTGAGGGCACTTGGTGTGTTCAGCTGGAGCAGAGGAGACTGAGGGGAGACCTCCCTGCAGTTCCAACTGCCTGGGCAGGGGCAGAGGAGGGGCAGGACTGAGCTCTGCTCTGGGAGGACCA